TGGCGCTGTGGCTCAAGTGGTAGAGCACTAGCCTTGAGCTGAAGTGCTGAGGGACAGCGCCCAGGCCCAGAGTTCAGGCCCCATGACCGGCAAAAAAAAAAAAAAAAGAAGACCAGAAAGACGTCTGCTATATATTTATCCTAGGTTATATTTTCTTTCAAACAATAATAGTTTTAAGTCTTCTAGTGGTTCTCAGGAGAGGGAGAAGTCTTGGGCTGGAGCTGGTGAGGAAATCTTTGGGTCATCTGAAGGTTTCTAGCTCTTGACACAAGGGTGATATACCCAGGAATCTGATCCAGTGTCTGGGATTGCCTTGGGGGTGGATAAGATTACTGAGAAGAGCCCTCCCAAGGGCATTCATCTATCCCTTTAGGTAGGCCCAGTGATTTTTACCAGAATAAGATCCAGGGCAGAAAATGGGGAACCTTCAGGTCTCAGGAAGCTGAAGATCAAAGTTCAAAACCAGCCTGGTCAGAAAAACTCCATCTCTAATTAAGTAGGAAAATTTCAGCATCAAAGCATGGTTCAAATGTTATATATTGCCCGCTGTGAGCAAGTAAATTGACTGAGCATGAGGTTTGAGTTTAAGTCCCAGTAACATCCCCCCCAAAAAAGACAAAAAGATTATTAAAAAAAAAAAAAAAAGACAGAGATTGGCCAGGTGCTGGTGGCTCCCACCTGTAATTCTAGCTATTCAAGATGCTGAAATCTGAGGACTGAGGTTTGAAAAGGCTATGAGACTCAAATTGCCAATTTATCACAGAAAAAGCTAGAAGTGACACTGTGACTCAAGTGGTAGGGTGCTAACTTTGAGCAAAAGGAGCTCAGGGACAGTGCCCAGCCCCAGAGTTCAAGCCCCATGACTGACAAAAGCAAACAAAAAACCCCACCCCAAAACAAGAAACTGGAGATTGCCAGATGCTGGTGGCTCACACCTACAATCTTAGCTACTCAAGAGGCTGAGATCTGAGGATCTTGGTTCAAAGCCAGCCCATAAGACTCTTATCTCCAATTCACAAACAAAAAGCTGGAAGTTGAGTTGGGGATCAAACGGTAGAACACTACTCTTGAGCACAAAAGCTCAGGGGGAGGGCTGGGAATGTGGCTTAGTGGTAGAATGCTTGCTTAGCATTCATGAAGCCCTGGGTTTTATTCTTCATTAAAAAGAGAAAAACCTGGAAGTGGTGCTGTGGCTCAAGTGGTAGAGTACTAGCCTTAAGCAAAAAGAAACTCAGGGACAGTGTGTAGGCCCTGTGTTCAAGCCCCAGGATGGACACACACACACACACACACACACACACACACGAAGAGTTGTAAGTCCTGTGGTTTAAAACATTAAACAAGACAAATTTTATATTCCCAGTCTAAATTACCTTGCACAGCAAAATAAGGAATTACTTGCAGGCTGGGGGCATAGCACAAGCAGTAGAATGTTTCCTTAGCAAGCATATAGCTCTGAGTTCAGACCTCAGAACTGCCAAAAACAAATGTGTATGTAGAAAAGAATTATTGGAGATGTGGTTTGAGTAGTAGAGTAACTGTTTAAAAGTCTTGCTGAGTGCTGGTGGCTCATGTCTGTAATACCAACTAATCAGAGGCTGAGATCTGAGGATCACCGTTCAAAGTCAGCCTGGGCGGGAAAGTCTGTAATACTCTTATCGCCAATTAATCACCAAAAAAAAAAAAAAAAAAGAACAAAAAAACATATGTGGCGATGTGGTTCAAGGGGTAGAGCACTTGCCTTGAACTGAAGAACTCAGGGACAGTGCCCAGGCCCATGGTCCAAGACCCACAAATGACAAAAAAACAAACAAAAAAGGGCTAATACTACAAAAAAAGAAAAAAGAATTACTTAATAGGGCTGGGAAGGTGACTCAGTGGTAAGAGCGCTTGCTTTGCATGCCTGAGGCCCTGGGTTCGATTCCCAGCACCACATAAGCAAAAAGAAAAAAGCCAGAAGTGGTGCTGTGGCTCAAGTGGTAGAGCGCTAGCCTTGAGCTGAAGAGCTGAGGGACAGTACCCAGGCCCAGAGTTCAGGCCCCACGACCGGAACCAAAAAAAAAAAAAAGAATTACTTAATATCACAGATTCTGGTCTAAAACTGTTTCTTTTTGTATTGCAGTCATTAAGATTGCTCAAATCCCATGAGATTCAATAATATTATTGAGCAAGGTACTGGTGGTACATTCCTGTAATCCTAGCTACTTAGGAGGTTGATAGCTGAGGATCACATTTGAAGCCAGCTTGGCCAGAAAAGTCTGTGAGACTCTTATCTTTAATTAACTATCAAAAGCCGTAGGTGGAGCTATGACTCAAGTGGTATAGCATGAGTTTAAGCTCTAGTACTGGCAACATAAAGAGAGGGGGGAGGAAGAGAGGGACATACAGACAGACAGACTCCAACATATTTTGGGGGACATAATTCAATATAATGAATAATAATACTGGTTTTCCAAATGAGGCATGAGGCATATAGCTTCAGTGTAATAGTAAACAAAACTCCAACTCTGTGTGTGTGTATGTGTGTGTGTGTGTGTGTATGTGTGTCTGCACACTGGTACTCAAGCTTACACTTAGGGTTTGTGCTCATTCATCTTTCTTGCTCATGGCTGGTGCTCCACCACTAGAACAACACCTCCAGAGCAGCATTTTGTGAGGGTAATTGGAGATAGGGAGTTTCATGTGCTTTTCTGCTGAGCTGGCTTAGAACTTTGATCCAGAGGCTCAGTCTCACGAGTAGGAAATATTACAGTGATTCTAAAAGTTTTAAGAGAAATTTTGTCATAAATAGCAGAGTAGGAGTCTACAATTTTCACTTTTTTTTTTTTGGTCACTCTGGGCCTGGACACTGTCCCTCAGCTCTTCAGCTCAAGGTGAGCGCTCTACCACTTGAGCCACAGCACCACTCCTGGTTTTTGAGTGGTTTATTAAAGAATCTGACTGACTTTCCTGCCTGGGCTGGCTTTGAACTGTGATCCTCAGATCTCAGCCTCCTGAGTACCTAGGATTTCAGGCGTGAGTCACCAGCGCCCAGCTCTACAATTTGCACTTATATAAAAGCTAAATCAATTTTCAGGAACATAGTGGGGAGGTTTTTCATATCAAATATTATGATTTATAAAGCTTTTGCAGAAATTGATATAATGTGGTCTTTCTACAAGGAAAGACACAAAGAACAGACTACATGGTCTTGAAACAAATCTGTGCATACAATTAACATATGACAATGATGACAATATACAGCAGGTGGGAAAAGACAGGCTTTTCAAAAACAGTGCTTAACTAACCTTGAGCTTAAGAGCTGAGGGACAGTGCCCAGGCCCAGAGTTCAGGCTCCACGACTGGACCCAAAACACAAAAACAAAAACAACAAAAACAGTGCTTAAAGAAGATAAATATCTTACACCATATACAAAATCCAACTCCAAGAGATTAATGTATCTAAAATTGAAAGACAAAATATCTTGCCAAGAATTTCCAACTTCAGATAGAAAGGTATTCTGGTGTTTTTTGTTTGTTCGTTTTTTTGGTTTTCAATTGCAATTCTCTGATCTCAGAGTCCTGAGGAGCTAGGTTTGCAAGTTTGAGCTACCAGCACTTGGTGGGAAAATAACAAGACAGCCGAAGCAGTAGGCAAAAAGATTTTTTATGTTCATCAAAACACAACACAGAGATAATATATATATATACATATATATATATATTTTTTTTTTTTTGTCGGTCTTGGGGCTTGAACTCTGGGCCTGCGCGCTGTCCTTCAGCTCTTCAGCTCAAGGCGAGCGCTTTTCTACTTGAGCTACAGCACCACTTCCGGTTTTCTGGTGGTTTATTGGAGATAGGAGTCTCACGGTCTCTCCTGCCCAGGCTGGCTTTGAACCGAGATCCTCAGATCTCAGCCTCCTGAGTAGCTAGGATTACAGGCGTGAGCCACCAGCGCCCGGCCAGAGATAATATATTTATAATGCATATATTAAGAAAATTGTGTTCTGCTGCCACAACAAAATACCACCAAGTGAGTAACAGAAATTTATTTCTCATAGAACTGGAGGCTAGGTAGTTCATGATCAGGTGACAACAGTTAATTTTTTTTTTTTTGGGTCCAGTCGTGGGCCTGAACTCTGGGCCTGGGCGCTGTCCCTCAGCTCTTCAGCTGAAGGCTAGCGCTCTACCACTTGAGCCACAGCGCCACTACTGGCTTTTTGCTTATGTGGTGCTGAGGTATCAAACCCAGGGTCTCAAGCATGCAAGGCAAGCGCTCTACCACTGAGCCACCTTCCCAGCCCAGAGTTGATGTTTTGTAAGGACTCACTCTATGGCTCCAAATAGCTCCTTGTTGTTTCTCCTAAATGGGGAATAAAGCTGTATCTCCCATATGGTAAAAGGATAAAAAGAGCAAAACAGGAAGGCAAGAATAATATTATGTGAAGCCTCTTTTTTTTTTTGGGGGGGGGGTCCGGTCGTAGGGCTTGAACTCTGCAGCCCCTATTTCTTGGAGCAGCCATGAACACATGGGGCAGAGTGCGCAGGCAGCTGCCTCCTCCAAGGTGAGCACTTCAGCTCCACCATGCCTTCCCGCCAAGATCAACTGAAACTGTCAGCCAAACTGAAGCGGAGAACTTACAGCAACATCTAACACCTCCCATAGCCCTTCCCCAAAGCTGCTTTCTACTTTTTCATATTTGAGTCTAGGTCTCTTTAAGAAGTCAATCATCACTGAGGAGACAGGGGTACCCGGGAAGTCACAGGGATGGGGGGGGGGGGGGCGGGGGAGTCATTAGGCTCAAGCCTGGGGCATGATGGGAAAGGAGGGCAGAGTGCTGTCTGGGAAGGTCCACGGAACTCTGGCAGGGAAAGAGAGGCAGAGAGCAGGCTGGGAAGGTCCAGTTCCCTCCCCCATACTAAGGCATGACGGGAGAAGAGGGCGGAGAGTAGGTCGTGAATAGCCAATCAGATCAGGCCTAGGGCATGACGGGAAAGAGCTGGGAAGGCCAAGTGCTCTCAGGTCTGGAGCATGTCGGGAAAAGAGGGCGGAGACTAAGGTTCCACCCGCTCGGCCGGCGGGGGATTGCGTTGCGGTGTTTCGGGTGGAATTCCTGTGTGAGAAGAAAACTTGTCCCGGTGTGGCCGGGGAGCCTAGGTCCTATTGCACTTTTTGAGTCCACGCCCGTCTGGGAGAGGGAGGTGTAAGCAGGAGTGCGCACGGAGGTGGTGGTGGCCGCGGCGGAGGTGGCGGCGGCTGTGGGGGTGGGGTGGCCGAGTGGGGCCGAGCCACGTGACCCGTAGACTCCGGGCGGGCTGCGTGGCGGCGGCTGCACCCTTTGCGGCTTGGGTGAAGCCTTGGGAGGCTAGGGAAGTGGGAACGAAGGGGTTTGCCCGTGGGACTCGCTGGTCACCAGCGTTCGCTCCTGCGCTTCGGCTTTAGTTTTCTCAAGTGACTGGTGTTGGGAATTGGTGGGAATGCGAACTTCGGAACGCGAGCGACACGGGGATGATCCCAGGTAGATTGCTCCAGCTGTGGCACGTAGTCAGAAATTGTCCCTTCTTCCGAACGGACTGTTAATCTGGTTGTCCATTTCCATGCCCGGCTTGCCAGTTTGGATTGATGGCTTGAGCAGAGTTTCCTATTTTGCTTCAGCTTTCCCATGTGTGTCTACTCATCTTTACGCCTTGTTTACAGAATGTCATTTGGGAATTGGGACTCAGAGGAGCTTAGACCTCCTTCGACACCCTGGAAGGTATAGGTCACTCACTTGTGTGTGAGGTGTGACTCATGTGATAGAGCACAGATCAATCCTCAAACTTGCTAAATAAATGAACAAATAAATACGATAAACTTCAGTTTTCAAAAATTAAGAACTCGTACCTATTAACTTGTGAATGGGATCTTGAGCTCCGATCTAGTGTCAGGCTTCAAAACAGTGCCTTTGCAGGATCCTAGAGAAGAGTGAATTTAAATGTGAATGGCGATTGCTTTTTTCCACTTTGGGAAATGAAAGCTGACATGGAGTCTGAGCATGATGGGCTCATGCCTGTCTGTAATCCCAGCACTTCAGAGCTATCTAGAGAGTTCCCAACTGAAAAGAGAGAAAACAAAACAAGCTGATATGAACTTTCAAGTCATAATACTCATAGTATCCGGAACTGTACCTGGCATCCGTCCCACTGAGGCTTGCTAACTTTCTCCTTTGGCTTGATCTGTCAATCTAATTCCACTCAACAGCCTTCCCCATATTAGAGCTACAGTGCTTGTCTTTAAAAGTACTAGGGAAGGGCTGAGAAGGTGGCTCAGTGGTAGAGCGCTTGCCTTGCATGCCTGAGGCCCTGGGTTCAATTCCTCAGCACCACATAAGCAAACAGAAAAAAGCTGGAAGTGGAGCTGTGGCTCAAGTGGTAGAGTGGTAGAGCGCTAGCCTTGAGCTGAAGAGCTGAGGGACAGCGCCCAGGCCCAGAGTTCAGACCCCACGACCAGACCCAAAAAAAAAAAAAAGTTCTAGGGAAGTGTGAGCTTTTGCTGGCTGAAGTATCATAAGTAAACGAACCTATTAAAGGAACAGAAAGTAGGAAGAAAGAACAGAGTTATAGTCCCAGAAGGGATCTTTTTCAAATGCTCAATCCTAAAGCTTCTAGTATAAACATGAAGGAAAACGTAACAAATCATTGAATGCCAATCTTTTATGTTATGTTTTAGGAGTCCAACTATCCATTGCCAGGAAATCTGTTTAAACTAGGGAAACTTTCCATATAAAAACTTAGAATGAAAGAATCTTTGGATGGTGGATGTGACAAAGCCATAGTACCACAGAGGCTTTTGGACAAAATTAAAGAAGAACCGCATGATGCTCAAGTAAGCACTTCCTGATTTTTTTTTAAGTTACCTTTTCAGTCTGTTGAATTGAAAACATTAGTTTAGCAGTTTGTTGCTTATAAGATAAAATAACTCAAACTATTACTTTTTTTCCTGTTAAAGGAGCCTGGTGGTTTGAATATGTTCTCTTAGTTCATGTGTTGGAAATGTAATTCCCAATTCAACATTGTGGAGGGAAGGGCTTAATAAGATAGGTTATGAAGGCTCTCCTCTCATGAATGGATTCATGTCACCGTTCTATACAGTTCACCTTCCTCTTGATCTTCCCCCTGTCCCTTTGGTGGTATTGTAGTTTGAACTCACACTTACTAGGCATCTTGCTCTACCACTTCAACCATAACCACAACACTTTCTTCTTCAGTTGTTTTTCAGGTAGGGTTTTAGGTTTTTGTTTGCAGCTGGTGTTAGACCACAGTCCTCATGTATAGCTGGGATCACAAGTACATACTAGCACGCCTGTCTTGTTGGTTGAGATGGAACCAAGAAAATTCAAAACTAATTTTGGAACTGCTTTTGTCAGTTTTATTTTGCTAAATGTAGGGAAGGTAAAAGCATAGCTATAATGATTATCTTTTTTTTTTTCAGAGAAGTAAGACTTTCTATAAAACTTCCTTTTTGAAACATGGAAAGCTATTGTAATACCCGGGAGGGGATTTAAGAATAAAGAGCAGTTCTTTTTCCGAGAATTTGTTTTGGAGGGAGTGTATTATTGGGGTTTGAACCCTGTGTCAAATTTACTAGGCAGGTACTCTACTAGTTGAGGGATGGCCCTAGCCCAAGAGCAATTCTTTTCCAAATACTAAAAAAAAATGTTAATGATTACATTTTCTTTTTACAACACTTAAAAGAGTACATTAAGGATAAGTCATTTAAGCTGTGATATCAATAACAGATGTAACAGCTTAGTAAATCTGTTATCTTAAAAGTATTAATTTGGATTTAAACTTTACATCCTTCAGATTTAATTTTATTTATCATTCCCTTGTAAATATATCCTAGAGAACAAGAAGTGGGTCAGCACTGGTGCCTCATATCTACTCCTGTCTACTCAGGAAGTTGAGCTCTGAAGATCATGGTTTGAAGCTAGCTTGGGCAGGAAATCAGTAAGAATGTTATCTCCAACTAAGTACCAAAAAAAGGCAGTGGAGCTGTGGCTGAAATGGTAGAATGCTAGCTTTGAGCAAAAGAGCTCAGGAACAGCATTCAGGCCATGAGTTCAAGCTCCAAACTGGCACCAAAAAAAAAAAAAAAAAAGGTGGGGATGATATGGATATGTATTATTCTCATATATCAAGATTATATTTTAAGGGGCTGGGAAGGTGACTCAGTGGTAGAGCGCTTGCCTTGCTTGCATGAGGCCCTGGGTTCGATTCCCCAGTACCAGAAAAACAGAAAAAGCCAGAAGTGGCGCTGTGGCTCAAGTAGTAGAGCTCTAGTCTTGAGCTGAAGAGCTGAGGGACAGTGCCCCCGCCCAGAGTTCAGGCCCCATGACTGGCAAAAAAAAAAAAAAAAAGTTATGTTCTGCCAGGCGCTGGTGGGTCACGCCTGTAATCTGAGATCTGAGGATTGTGGTTCAAAGCCAGTCTGGGCTGGAATGTCTGTGACACACTTTTTTTTTTGTTGGTTGTGGGGCTTGAACGCTGGTCCTGGGCGCTGTCCCTGCATTCTTCAGCTCAAGGCAAGCGCTCTACCTCTTGAGCCACAGCGCCACTTCCAGTTTTCAATGGTTTATGAGAGATCAGAGTCTTACGGACTTTTCTGCCGGGGCTGACTTTGAACCGTGATCCTCAGATCTCAGCCTCCTGAGTAGCTAGGATTACAGGCATGAGCCACAGGTGCTGGCTTCGTGACACCACTCTTATTTCCAATTAACACCAGAAAACCAGAAGTGGCGCTGTGGCTCACTTGCCTTGAGCTGAAGAGCTCAGGGACAGCACCCAGGCCCAGAGTTTAAGCCCCATGAGAGACAAAAAAAAAAAAAAAAAGGAAATGTTCTCCAATTCTGAAAGGTTCTTTGTAAACATTAAATTTAGTCTGATAAGTTAGTTTTGACATTTGAGATGTTTGTGAAGTGATTGGAATTAGGATATACAAGAGATGAATGTAGGGGCTGGGAAAGTGGCTCAGTGGTAAAGCGCTTGCCTTGCATGCCTGAGGCCCTGGGTTCGATTTCTCAGCACCACATAAGCAACACAGAAAAAAGCCGGAAGTGGCGCTGTGGCTCAAGTGGTAGAGTGCTAGCCTTGAGCTGAAGAGCTGAGGGACAGTGCCCAGGCCCAGAGTTCAGGCCCCACAACCGAACCTCCAAAAAAAAAAAAAAAAAAAGAGATGAATGTAGTAACAATTAGATTTTGCTTGAATTTTTAGTTTACTTAAGTATACTGTACTCATTCCTCTCTTTTCCCCTCCATTTCTATTTCTCTCTGTTTGAAAAGGAATATGAACAGGTTCAACCGCCAAAAACTGAAGAAAATGAACTGAAAATTAGTGCAGTATTTTCAGTTAGCGACAGTCCTCTTGGTAAGAAATAAAAGTGTGTAAGTTAATTACAATGAATAATATTTATTCTGTCTAATGGACTTAAGGGAGAGCATCTCCTCGTGTAAGCCTTTCTTCTTCTTTAGAGCACGTTGCTCAAACTGCAGGAACTGTTCATCATCAGCATTTAAATAAAGGAAACAGTGCAGTTATATCAGAAGGTGGTATATGTAAGTAAAGAACTTTGTTTCATGAAACTTCTGTTTCAGTTATAAGTTGCGTGTGTACGTGCACACACACATACAAATTTATGAGAACTGGGTTATAATTAAAATGTAATGTTGCCTATGGGTCATGATTTTTTTAAAAAAAGCTTGACACTTCTTGTTTTGGAGAGCTTATTACCTCTTTGGTGTTGGATTTCGAAACAGAAATTTTGGTCATCAAGAATATATGTGCTTTAGTATTGATATTACAATTTTTTTTTCTTATTTTGTTTTGCTAGTCCAACAGTTGACCCCGGGCTTTCAGCTTGCACAGTCTGGCCCAAACACATCTCTTCCTTCAGTTCCAGCTGTAGCTCCTCAGGTTTATTGTTCTGCTTGTAAAAGAATGCTTTATAAGGGCCAAACTGCCTACCACAAGACAGGATCTACTCAGTTCTTCTGTTCTACACGATGTATTACTGAATATTCTTCATCTGTCTGCCTACCACCTCCTCCCAAGAAAACCTGCACAAACTGCTCAAAGTATGAAATTCCTAATGGTATCCATGTCACTTTAGTTTTTAAAGTTTATATATAGTTTAGTTCAAACATGCTGAACAAATTTTGCAGCATTAAAGAAACAAATGACTCATTATTAGAAGTATTGTCTAAACCAGTGTTCTGTTTCTTAGTTTAAATTTTACTATGGAAAGAAATAAATTATTTGTGGGGTTGTAGGACCACTCATGTATCCTGAAATTGTGGACAAAAGTATTTAAGATATTTAATAATTCTTGTAGGTGTATGTGTATGTGGGTTTTATTTTTTTTTGTTTTTTGATCTGTTGTGGGGCTTGAACACAGGGCCTGGGTACTGTCCCCGAGCTCTTATGCTCAAGGCTAACACTCTTATCTCCTTGAGCCACTGCACCACTTCTGGTTTTCTGGTAGTTAATTGAAGATAAGAGCGTGAGGGACTCTCTTGCCTGGGCTGTCTTTGAACCGCCATCCTCAAATCTCAGCCTCCTGAGTAGCTAATATTATGGGCATAAGCCACTGGCCTTAACAATGCTTTTTTAGTTATTATAGTGTGGGATAAGCCGGGTGTCAGTGGCTCACACCTGTAATCCTAGCTACTCAGGAGGCTGAGATCTGAGGATCATGGTTCAAAGCCAACCGAAGCAGGAAAGGCTGTGAGACTCTTACCTCCAGTTAATCACCAGAAAACTGGAAGTGGTGTTGTAGCTCAAGTGGTAGAGTGTTGGCCTTGAGCTGAAGAGCTCAGGGACAGTGCTCTGGTGGCGCTCAAGACCCACAACTGACAAAAAAAACAAACAACAACAACAACAAAAAACAGTGAGGGATAAAATAATATGTTCTCTCTCTCTCTCTCTGTATATATATATATAGTTGTGTGTGTGTGAGTCCTTGGGGATTGACCTCAGGTCCTGGGAACTGTCCTGGAGCTTTTCATTCAGCTCAAAGCTGACAAGCTGTAGAGCACTCACCTTGAGCTGAAGAGTGCAGGGACAGCGCCCAAGCCCAGAGTTCAAGCCCCACGACCAACCAAAAAAAAAATCTGAAAGCTTACCTCTTGAGCTGAGATACACTTCCACTTCTGCCTTTTTTGGTGGTTAAGTCTCAGGGACTTTACTACCTAGGCTAGCTTCAAAACATAATCTTCAGATCTCAGCCTTCTGAGTATCTAGGATTACAGACATGAGCCACCAACACCCGGCTAATAGCACTCTTAATAGTATGTATAAATTGTTACAAAAATAATTGTGTACATCTAATATCCTTGTAAGCTTTTCTGGGATTATTGTTTTTTTACAATAATGTTTAGATTCAGACAGAGAAAGAAATAGCAAAGTCACATAAACATTTCTCTTACTTTACTGTATTTGATAAACTTGGTGTGTTTTGCCTGTTTTCCTGATAGTACTTCCAGGAATGTAGTGTGAGACTTCCTTCTCCAATGGTGTCTCATCCACTAGAGCTAGTGGGATTAAATTCAGCCACTCTACAACTCCAGACCACAAGACACATATCCTCATATCTTCTTACAGCCAGAAGCTGCCACAGAAACATGAATGAGACAGCAAATGAAATTTTTAAAAATGTATGCTATTAGTTATTTATGTAGAGTAATAACAGTTAAAAGCTTATTTTTAGGGCTGGGAAGGTGGCTCAGTGGTAGAGTGCTTGCCTTGCATGCCTGAGGCCCTGGGTTCGATTCCTCAGCACCACATAAGCAAAAAGAAAAAAGCCAGAAGTGGTGCTGTGGCTCATGTGGTAGAGTGCTAGCCTTGAGCTGAAGAGCTGAGGGACAGCGCCCAGGCCCAGAGTTCAGGCCCCACGACCGGACCCAAAAAAAAACAAAAACAAAAGCTTATTTTTAAAGCTAGGAATGTAGCTTAGTGAGAAGTGGTTGCCTGGCAAGTACAAGATCCTGGATCCCATCCCAGCACTAAAAACATTTTTTATCTTGGTTGGGTGATGGTGGCTCACGTCTGTAATCCTAGCTATTCAAGAGGCTGAGATCTGAGGATCACGGTTCAAAGCCAGCCCAGGCAGGAAAGTCTGTGAGACTCTTTTTTTTTTTTTTTTTTGTTGGCCGTGGGGCTTGAACTCTGGGCTTGGGCGCTGTCCTTCAGCTCTTCAGCTCAAGGCGAGCGCTCTACCACTTGAGCTACAGCGCCACTTCTGGCTTTCTGGTGGTTTTATTGGAGATAGGAGTCTCATGGTCTCTCCTGCCCGGGCTGGCTTTGAACTGCGATCCTCCAATCTCAGCCTCCTGAGTAGCTAGGATTATAGGCATGAGCCACCAGCGCCCGACTAAACATTTTTTTTTGGGTCCGGTAGTGGGGCCTGAACTCGGCCTGAGCGCTGTCCCTCAGCTCTTCAGCTCTGGTTTCCTGAGTAGTTTATTGAAGACAAAAGTCTCATGAGGGGCTGGGAAGGTGGCTCAGTGGTAGAGTGCTTGCCTTGCATGTCTGAGGCCCTGGGTTCGATTCCTCAGCATCACATAAGCAAAAAGAAAAAAGCCAGAAGTGGCACTGTGGCTCAAGTGGTAGAGTGCTAGCCTTGAGCTAAAGAACTGAAGGACAGTGCTCAGGCCCAGAGTTCAAGCCATACAACCTATCAAAGAAAAAAAAATTATCCTGGTTACTACTGAATGACCCTGAGTTTAAGATTTTAATCCTGCTACCTGGTAGGCTGAGATCTGAGGATTGTGGTTCACCCTAAGCAGAGAAGTTCATGAGACTTATCTCCAGTTAACCAGCAAAATGCTGGAAGTGGAGCTATGGCTCAAATGGTAGAGTGTCAGCCTTGAGCTAAAAAGCCTGGAGAGAACAGTTGTGGAATGCCCATTAAACCTAGTCTTAGATTCCTCTGGCTCAGATGAAACTTGCTTGGAGTTGGAAATTTCACTAGTTTTTTTTTGTTTTTAGTTTTTATTGTTAATTATTAAGGCAATGTCAGGTAATGAGTACATTTCTTTTTGGGTAGTATCACTCCTTCCTTCACTCTCTTTCAGTCATTACTTTTGTTGTAATTCTCCCTCTATATATCTAGGAATTAGGTATCTAATTCCGTTTTTGCCTTTCTTTTTTTTTTTTTTTTGTCGGTCGTGGGGCTTGAACTCTGGGCTTGGGTGCTGTCCCTGTGCTCTTCAGCTCAAAGCTAGTGCTTACTGTTTGAGCCTCAGCACCACTTCTGGTTTACTAGTGGTTTATTGGAGATCAGAGTCTCACGAACTTTCTTGCCTGGGCTGGCTTTGAACCGCAATCCTCAGATCTCAGCCCAGATCTCAGCCTTCTGAGTAGCTAGGATTACAGGCGTGAGCCACCAGTGCCCGGCTGCCTTTCTTTTTTTCTGGTACCAGGGTTTAAACTCAGGGTCTACATTTGTTCAGATGGTGTTCAACCACTGACTGGATCCAAACCTCCAACCAAGCTTTTAGGAGTCTCTTAGGCTTTTCTGTTCCACCTAACTTTTATCTGAGATCCTTCAGATCTCAGCCTCCTCAGTAGCTAGGTTTAGAATTGTAAGCCTCCTCTGTAGCTAGGGTTAGAACTGTAAGCCATATGCCTCAGCTATAAATCCCATTTTAGGAATGAGGAAGTTGAGATAGTAGTTATCTTACTCATTATCACTTATTGATCAGTAACAAGTAATCCTCAAATCCAAGTTTACAGATGCTTTATCCAAAGCTTTTTCTGCACAAGGACTGCCTCTAGTCATTGTTATTTTTGCTCATAAAATAGGAATTTAGGACTGGCTCTGGTGACTCATGCCTATAATCCTAGCTACTCAGGAGGCTGAGATCTGAGGATCCTGGTTCAAAGCCAGCCGGGGCAGGAAAGTCAGACTTATCTCCAGTTAACCACCTGAAAACTGGAATGCACTGTGGCTCAAGTGTAGAGTGCTAGCCTTGAGCTAAAGCACTCAAGGATAGTGCTCAGGCTCAGAGTTCAAGCCCCATGACCAAAAAAAAAAAGGGGGGGGGATTTACAATTTATATATATTTCATTTTGTTTTTGTTATTTCTTTTTAGAGCCATTTTAAATCCAAAGAATGTGATCACAACCCAGTTTGAAAATTCCTCTTCTAGCAAAGATTTCTGCAGCCAATCATGCTTGTCTTCTTATGAACTGAAGAAAAAACCTGTTGTAACTATATATACCAATGGGATTTCGACTAAGTGTAGTATGTGTCAGAAAAATGCTTATGTAAGTTAAATTTTACTTTCGTTGAGATTGTGCTGAAAGATCAGTTTTGTGTTTTGGTGTTATAGTTGCTGAGAAATGAACATGGGACCTCATGTGTTGTAGGCAGGCACTGTACCACTGAGTCACAGTCCCAGTCTATTTTTTTCTTTAATTGTGGGATAGTGATATTTAGTTAAAATCACAAACACATTTTAATCTTCATGAGGCACCTTGTCATAATCATGATCTATGAAGTTTGTGAATTCTATGAGCTTTGACAATATAGCTATTTCTTCCACATCAGGTGATATGTACATTTCTTTCCATTTACCGTAAGCTGTTTCTTCTTTCCCTCTCTTTCTCTCCCTCCATTGCTGCCCTTGAGTTGCTTAGTTCGTTTTCACCAATGTCCAGTGCAGCTGGCCCCTTTGTTGGATATTTTCCTGTTTCCCTCTGATTCTGTGCCCTCCTCCTAGTCCCAGTCTCTCTTTCTCTTTCTCTCCCCCCCTCTCTCCCCCATATATATTTTGTTGTTGTTGTCGTGGGGCTTGAACTCTGGGCCTGGGTGCTATCCCTCAGCTCTTCAGCTCAAGGCTAGGACTACCACTTGAGCCACAGCACCACTTTCAGTTTTCTGGTGGTTTATTGGAGATAAGAGTTTCATGGATTTTCCTGCCCGGGCTGGCTTTGAACTACTATCCTCAGATCTCAGCCTCCTGAGTAGCTAGGATTACAGGCGTCAGCCACCAGTGCTTGGCATCCCTGTCTCTTTTTTAAAAACAGGTTTTGTTTCACTTTGTGTATGTCTGTTTTTATTTCCTAGATTCGATTTGAAGTTAAATACCAAAATGTGGTACATGGTCTTTGTAGTGATGCCTGTTTTTCAAAATTTCACACTACCAACAACCTCACTATGAACTGTTGTGAAAACTGTGGGAGCTATTGCTATAGTAGCTCTTACCAATCACAGAAGGTTTTTAGTTCAACAAGCATCACAGCATACAAGCAGGTATGAATACCAACCTGTTGGAAATAGTTAGGCTCAGTCCTGAACTGGCTACAAGGTATGAAGTTCAAAACAAGAGTTCATGCTGATGTTTAACCTGATATGAAATTACTTTTTGAGAAAAATATATTCAGAATGATTGTGGAATGAAATGGTAACAGTGAAATGGGATACTTGTTTTCTGCAGGGGGTAAGGGGAGGTTGTCTTAGGGTTTTGCATTTTGTAGGCAAGCACTCCACTGCTTGAATTATCTCTTCTAGCCCCTTTTGCTCTGGTTATACTTTGAGATAGGATGTATCCAGCCTTTGGTTTCAACCAGCCTTAGGTCTCTCAAACTTTTTATCTATTCTAGGGAACTGTGATCCTATCTTGACTTAGTAGATAGCTAGGATTAAAGCTAAGTGCCACCAATACCCAACTGAAATGGACCACTTTTTTTTTTTTGCCCAGTCATGGGGCTTAAACTCAGGACCTAGGCACTGTTCCTGAGCATTTTTGCTCAAGGCTAGTGCTGTACCACTTGAGATGTACGGCTCTACTTTGGGCTTTTTGGTGGCTAATTGGAGATAAGTGTCTCATGGACTTTCCTGTCTTGGTAGCTTTGAATTGCGATCTTCATATCTCAGCTTCCTGAGTAGCTAGGATTAAATACATGAACCACTGGTGCCTAACTCTGTTATAATTTTTTTTTTTGGTTGGTCATGGGGCTTGAACTCTGGGCCTAGGCACTGTCCTTGAGCTCTTCAGCTCAAGGTTAGTGCTCTACCACTTGAGCCCACAGTGCCACTTCCGGCTTTTTCTGCTTATGTGGTGCTGAGGAATCAAACCCAGGGCCTCTTGAATGCAAGGCAAACACTCTACCACTGAGCCACCTTCCCAGCCTCGTTTTAATTTTTGAAAGCACTTCACTATGTTGTTGAAAGAATCTTCTGATACAGTGTATAAACATGGCTTTGCATGAATTCTAGAAAGTCATGGAAAACATTCAATAACTAATACTATTAGTGATGTAATAGCAGCCACTATGATCATTTTGTCATATTACAGTTATATGCTGTTATATAAGAATTATATACAATTTTTTGGGGGGGTCCGGTTGTGGGGCCTGAACTCTGGGCCTGGGTGCTGTCCCTCAGCTCTTCAGCTAAAGGCTAGCGCTCTACCACTTGAGCCACAGTGCCACTTCTGGCTTTTTTCTTTTTGCTTATGTGGTGCTGAGGAATTGAACCCAGGGCTTCTGGCATGCAAGGCAAGTGCTCTACCACTGAGCCACCTTCCCAGCCCTTATATACAGTTCTTAAAGCATGAGTATAAAACTCAGCTTGAAAAGTATGCAGTCCTTTTGGATCTCCTGATATTCAGTAAGCTTTATTTTGGTTTCTTGCTGAAGGCTCTTTCAAATTAGATAGCTTTAAATGTGGTAGAGTCACTTAGTCCGAGATCCTGGTCTATATAGAGGTAACCTTTTGGTTCAGGGATTACCTGATCTTTTCTGGTTATTTGTGATGAGAAGACAGTTATTATTAACACAATTATTACTTGTAGTGTGTTTGGTTATTAAAATATCTCAGTATTTTCAGTTTTTATTTTATGTTTTATTATCTGAAAGAAATTATTTTTCCCATATCCCAATTCTCAGACAAGTTTATATAGTATGCCTTCATTATCATGCTCACAGATTTCAAACACAGACAGAGGTTATGGTAGCTTTTCGTCTCCTTTTTGAAACACTAATGTAATTATGTATTCTTGTACACATCTAAATGTAATTTTATTTTCTTAATAGAATTCAGTGCAGAAGCCTCCCTATGCCTTGGGGAAATCATTGAGGCCCTCTGCTGAAATGATTGAGACTACAAATGACTCAGGGAAAACTGAGCTTTTCTGCTCTGTTAACTGCTTATCTGCCTACAGAGTTAAGACTGTTACTTCTTCAGGTAATACTTACATTTGATAAATTTACAAATTTAAGACTGTTGAGGAAGACTGTAACTGTTTTTCTTTCATTGTGTTATAACCTGAATTTCTCCCTATATGGTTAAAGACCCATGAACTGACTTTTAAGTGTCAGTAGTTTTTCACTGGTTTTCAAATTGTGAAACACAAGTTTATCATTTCATATGTGAGAAGACAGAACAATTATAATTTAGGCTATTTTTTTTTTAATTATTGGGAGTTAAGGTTAGTTGTATTAGATTCATAGAGTGTTGTAAAGCTCCTAGATACTTTCCATAGATTACAGTTTTTTTTTTTCACATCAGTGGATTCATATCCATACATTTCAACAAACTATGAATAAAATTATTTAGGAAAATAATATACATATGTATAAGCATTGTCACAATAGAGAACAACTGTAGTTGTTCATGCAATATTTACATTTTGTTATATATTATATGTACTATAGAGATGATTTAAAGTATCTGATAGGACGTTTGGGAGGCTGCACCTGATTACATATAAGCACTGTACCATTTTATGTAAGAAACTTAGTGTTCTTGGAGAGTCCTGAGGATATCAGTCCCTTGAAGATACCAACAGAAGCTGAGTGTTTTACTTTCTTTTTCCTAATACTAGGTTACTGTTCATTTGTATAACAAACTCATTGTTTTTTATTTTCTGTCATAAGGTCTTAAGGTTTCCTGTCACAGTTGTAAGACCTCAGCAATCCCCCAGTATCACTTAGCCATGTCAAATGGAACCATATATAGCTTCTGTAGCTCCAGCTGTGTGATGGCTTTCCAGGTATGATCCAAGGTAGTTCATCCCAGCAGTGCTTCTTAGGTACTTATCTAAGCCAGTATGTTGATTATAGAGGTTCAGTCTTAAGTTTAAGCTAAAAAGGAAAAAAAACAAAACAAAACTGGGCTCATGTAGGGTTCCAGATGTCATTTTTTTTTTTCCCCTGGTCGGTTGTAGGACCTGAACTCTGGGCCCTGGGAACTGTCCCTGAGCTCTTCAGCTCAAAGCTGGTGTTCTACCACTTGAGCCACAGCACCACTTCCGGCTTTTTCTGCTTATGTGGTGCTGAGGAATAGAACCCAGGGCCTCATGGATGCAAGGCAAGCACTCTACCACTGAGCCACCTTCCCAGTCCCAAGGTGTCTTTTTTTTTTTTTTTTTGGGGGTCCGGTCGTGGGGCCTGAACTCTGGGTCTGGGCGCTTTCCCTCAGCAGTTCAGCTCAAGGCTAGCGCTCTACCACTTGAGCCACAGTGCCACTTCCGGCTTTTTTCTTTTTGCTTATGTGGTGCTGAGGAATTGAACCCAGGGCCTCATGCATGCAAGGCAAGTGCTCTACCACTGAGCCACCTTCCCAGCCCCCAAGATGTCATTTTTATAAAATGTTTTTTTTTTGTTGTTGTTGGTCATGGGGCTTGAACTCTGGGCTTGGGCGCTGTCCCTGCACTCTTCAGCTCAAGGCGAGCGCTCTATCGCTTGAGCTACAGCACCACTTCCGGTTTTCTAGTGGTTTATTGGAGATAAGAGTCTCATGGACTTTCCTGCCCAGGCTGGCTCAGATCTCAGCCTCCTGAGTAGCTAGGATTACAAGTGTGAGCCACCGGCGCCTGGCTTTTTTATAAAATGTTTTGAGTCCAGATGTGAGGCTTCCTTATTCTGGGGCCTAAACTACCCATTTCTCCCATTGTTCCCTTGGCTCTTTTCCCTTTCAAGTTTCCCATGTGTTTTGAGAGGTTGTATAGTGAAGAACTGTAGCCTGTGGAGGCTCCTGTACCCCTTCTTGTCATGGGTCAGGCCTAGTAATTCCTGTCAAGGAATGAGAAGAAGCCAATGGTCCCATTCTCTCTACACTCTGCAGAATGCAGGAAGAGTGAGTAATATTTTAATCCCTCAATGGAGGCCTGATTTGATATCCTTGGCTCCAAGAAAAAAGACAGCTAGTTGCTACTGCGCGTTTGTTTTTGTTTGTTTGCTTTGGGTCTGGTCGTGGGGCCTGAACTCTGGGCCTGGGCGCTGTCCCTCAGCTCTTCAGCTCAAGGCTAGCACTCTACCACATGAGCCACAGCGCCACTTCCGGCTTTTTTCTTTTTGCTTATGTAGTGCTGAGGAATCGAACCCAGGGCCTCAGGCATGCAAGGCAAGCTCTGTACCACTTGAGCCACCTTCCCAGCCCCTGCGCCTTTGTTTTTACTGTGACTTTTTGTTGTTGTTGTTGTTGGTGGTGGTGGTGGTGATCTGGGCCTGGGTGCTGTCCCACAGCTCTTCAGCTCAAGGCTAGTGCTCTGCCACTTGAGCCTCAGTGCCACTTCCAGTTTTCTGGTGTTAATTGGAGATTAGAGTCTCATGGACATTCCTGCCTGGGCAGGGTTTGAACTGCGATCTTCAGGTCTTAGCCTCTTTAGTAGCTAGGGTTAGAGGCATGAGCTACTAGGTGTTTCTGTGTCTTAATAGCCACCAAGAATTGGTTATCAGTGATAGTGTGGGTGGAGGGTACCTTTGTGGAAAGGACAAGCCTGTAATGTATTAAAGGCATGTCCTGGAGACATTTCAGTTTTTCAGTCCTATTCTAGAAGTATACATGTGAAGCACTTTTGGTGAGATTTAAGATTTGAAAGAGAACCATATAGTGGAATTTGTTAAAAATGAGGAAATGAAAGTTACTAAGTTATTTTCTCAGTTGATGAAATCTTTGTTTTGTGTTCATTCAGAATGTATTTAACAAGCCAAAGGGAACAAACTCTTCAGTAGCAACCCTGTCCCAGGGCCAAGTGGTCGTGAGTGTGCCTTCAGGGTCAGCAGTATCCACAGCTGCCTCCACCAACCCCTTCAGTAGTCCAGTCAGCGGCCCCGCTGCAGCTGCCCTCCAGACTCTTGCTGAACAATCCCAGCAGATTGCTTTAACCAATACATTTATGAAACTCATATGTCACTACTGTACCCATCAATTTGCCACAAAACCAGAGCTGCTTTTCTACAAGGTAAAGAGATTGTGAAAGGGGTTGAAGATAAACTCATCCACTAAAGCCCTTCTGGCTTTTCATCTTCCATGGTTGTGTTAGGTTTGCTTTTAAAAGACAAAGAAAGCTGGGTGCTGATGACTCATACCTATAATCTTAGCTACTCAGAAGATCTGAGGATCGTGGTTTGATGCCAGCTTGGGCAGGAAAGTCCGTGAGACTCTTATCTCCAAGTAACTACCAGAAAATCAGAAGTGGTGCTGTGGCTCAAAGTAGTAGAGCACTAGCCTTAAGTGAAAAAGCTCAGGGACAGCACCCAGTTCCTGAGTTCAAGCCCCATGACTGATTAAGAGAAAAGAAAAAAAAAGACAAGGTAAAGGATATCTTTAAAGAGAAAGCCACTGCTTAGTTTGATCTTAATGATTGCTATGTCTTTGCAGGGTAGAATGTTTCTGTTTTGTGGCACAACTTGCTCTGAGGAATACAAAAGAAGAAATAAAGTCATGGCAATGTGTGACTACTGTAAACTGCAGAAAATCATAAAGGAAACTGTGCGATTCTCAGGAGTTGACAAGCCATTCTGTAGTGAAGGTAATGAAGCCTCGTGTTCACACAGTGCTGTTATCGTGAAATAATTCATTATAAGTTGGGCAATTAATCCAAGTAATTTTTCACTTAAGGGGTGGGACTTGAGGCAGCATCTCAGTTTCTGGCTTAGGCTGGCCTTGACCTTACTGATATTCTGCCTCAGGCTCCCAAATACTAGGATCACAGGCATGCACCATCATGCTCAACTGTAATTTCTTTTTAATGACGTATAGTGTGATCTTCAATGAATTTACATTTAGTTCACTCTAACATCTGGCCGGTTTTTTTTTTTTTTTTTTTTGGTGGTCTCAGGGCCTTTGCTTAGTAGGTAGGTATTCCACTACTTGAGCCATGCCTCTACGTTTTTTTAAATTTTCTTTTTTTTTTTTTTTCCAGTCGTGGGGCCTGAACTCTGGGCCTGAGCGCTGTCCCTCAGCTCTTCAGCTCAAGGCTAGCACTCTACCACTTGAGCCACAGCACCACCTCTGGCTTTTTTCTTTTTGCTTATGTGGTGCTGAGGAATCGAACCCAGGGCCTCAGGCATACAAGGCAAGCACTCTACCACTGAGCCACCTTCCCAGCCCCTTTAAATTTTCTTTCCAGGTATTTTGTTGTTGTTTTTACTTTTTTACTAGTGCCAGACACTGACTGAACTGTAATCCTTTGTATCATCACCAATTAACCACTGTAATAATAAAGCAATAAATCACTGTACCTGGTTACATTCTGTATTTTAAATGTTTTGAATAATTTTAGCAAAGAAAAACTATTAAAAGTAACTTAAGTCAGTAGTATTAGCATAGAAAAAAAAATTTTTTTTTGGTCGGTCGTGGGGCTTCAACTCTGGGCTTGGGTGTTCTCCCTCAGCTCTATAGCTCAAGGCGAGCGCTCTAGCTCTACCACTTGAGCCACAGCACCACTTCTGGTTTTCTAGTGGTTTATTGGAGATAAGAGTCTTACGGACTTTTCCTGCCCTTTTCCTGCCCGGGCTGGCTTTGAACCGTGATCCTCAGATCTTAGCCTCCTGAGTAGCTAGGATTACAGTGTGAGCCATTGGCGCTGGCTAACATAGAAAAATTTTAAGTTAATCTATTTTATGAGAGATCAAGTATTTAGGGTATATTTAGAAGTTGTTCTGTGTTTGTTTAGAATATAAAGAGACTATCCTATAACCTAAAAGCAAGTAAGTATATCAAATACTTAGAAATTAGCTTCAAGTTTGTATCTAAGTCTACAAAAAGTCATTCTACCTCCTTGAAGCTATGTAAATTTTATGTTTCTGTCTCTTATCTTTTTTGGTACTCAGTTTGCAAGTTCCTGTCTGTTCGAGACTTTGGAGAACGATGGGGAAACTACTGTAAGATGTGCAGCTATTGTTCACAAGTATCACCAAATTTGGTAGAAAATCGATTGGAGGGCAAGTTAGAAGAGTTTTGTTGTGAGGAGTGCATGTCCAAATTCACAGTTCTATTTTATCAGGTAAATAATGTTTTTTGTTTTGGATTCTGAAGTTGGTGAAAATTAGATTCTATTTTAAATAAGGTCATGGGCTGGTATGTAGTGCAGTGGCAAAGTGCTAGTTTAGCAAGTGCAATGTTCTACATTCGACAAAAAGAAATATGGGGCTAGTGCTGGTTGATCATGCCTGTAATCTTAGTTACTCACAGGCTGAAATCTGAGGATCCAGTTCAAAGTCAGCTCATGCAGGAAAGTCCGGGAGACTCTTACCTCCAATAAACCACTCAGAAAACCAGAAGTGGCGCTATGGCTCAAGTGGTAGAGCTCTAGCCTTGAGCTGAAGAGCTGAGGGACAGTGCCCAGGCCCGGAGTTCAAGCCCCACGAACAACAACAACAACAAAAAAAGTGGCTATATTGTGTGAAAAAATAATGCTTAGAGCTTGCTTAAGAAAATTATGAGCTTCCTACAAAAAAATTTGGTTTAATATTAACATGAAGTTTAGGATTTCTGGAGATTTTGTTGTTGAGGAATGTGCTTTTTTTGGGTGAGAGGATGTTCTTGAATGAATTTGAGGTCGTGTTGCCTTTATGTGGCTCTCCCATTCAGAATTCTGTGAGGAATTTGAAGTCAGGTCCTGTTCTCACTTCATAGATGCAAATGACAATAACTGACAACCTTACCTACTTTTTTTTTTTTTTTTTAATGTTGGTTGTGGAGCTTGAACTCTGGGCCTGGGCGCTTTCCCTGCACTCTTCAGCTCAAGGCGAGTGCTCTACCGCTTGAGCCACAGCGCCACTTCTGGTTTTCTAGTGGTTTATTGAAAATAAGAGTCTCACGGACTTTCCTGCCCTGGCTGGCTTTGAACTGTGATCTTCAGATCTCAGCCTCCTGAGTAGGTAGGATTACAGGCATGAGCCCCCACGCCCGGCTTCAAAATGTACATTTTTGAAAGGCCAGTGTGTTAGCTACAATTAATTGAACCAATAATACATAGGTGGTGCCCCTAAGTGTGGTTTCATTTAATGCTTAGCACCGGGTCAACAGATGGGTGCATTATTGCTAGGTTTCAATTCAGGATGAGGAAGAAAGTCTATGCAACTTAACTAACATGCCCTTGAGCATTCTGGTAGGTGACGAATGACTAGGCAGTACCTATGGCATTCTAGAAAACTCATGTTTACTTGCCTGCATCACCTACAAATGATTTTTGTTTTTTGTTTTGTCGGTTGTGGGGCTTGAACTCTGGGCTTGGGCGCTGTCCCTCAGCTCTTCAACTGAAGGCGAGTGCTCTACTGCTTGAACCACAGCGCCACTTCTGGTTTTCTAGTGGTTTATTGGAGATAAGAGTCTCATGGACTTTCCTGCCCAGGTTTGGTTTGAACTGTGATCCTCAGATCTCAGCCTCCTAAGTAGATAGGATTACAGGCTCGAACCACCGATGCCGGGCTACCCACAAGTAATTCTTAGTGAGGAAAGTGATGTCTTCTGATCACCAGAACAGGACTAGGTCCAATTACATAGCTTAAGACCAATGAGGCTGATTAGATAATTGTTGAATGAACTGAAGTCCTTATAGTTCCAAGCTCATATTCTTTCTATTATAATATGCAGCTTCTTTTTTACCCCCTCATTTTTTTTTGGGGGGGAGGGTAGGGGTGTTAGCATCTGGATACCATCCCTGAGCATTTTTTGCTCAAGAGTAGTGCTCCGGGGGCTGGGAAGGTGGCTCAGTGGTAGAGTGCTTGTCTCGCATGCCCGAGGCCCTGGGTTCGATTCCTCAACACCACATAAGCAGGAAAAGCCGCAAGTGGCTCAAGTGGTAGAGTGCTATCCTTGAGCTGAAGAGCTGAGGGACAGCACCCAGGCCCAGAGTTCAAGTCCCACAACCAACAAAAAACCAAAAACAAAAACAATGAGTAATGCTCCATCATTTGAGCCACAGCTTCACTTCTGGTTGTTAATTAGAGATAAGAGACTCATAGATTTTCTTACCTGGGTTGCTTTGAACCACAATCCTCAGATCTTAGCTTCCAGGGGAACTAGGATTACAGGTAGGAGCCATTGGCACCCTGCAGATGTATTTTTCACTGCAATTTTTTTTTTTTTTTTGGGTCCGGTCGTGGGGCCTGAACTCTGGGCCTGAGCGCTGTCCCTCAGCTCTTCAGCTCAAGGCTAGCGCTCTACCACTTGAGCCACAGCGCCACTTCCGGCTTTTTTTTTTCTTTTTGGTTATGTGGTGCTGAGGAATCGAACCCAGGGCCTCAGGCATGCAAGGCAAGCCACCTTCCCAGCCCTTCACTGCAATATTTTAAGGTAAAAACTTTATTTTGTAGTCTGAACTGACTCATCTTTTTTCAAAATGTCTCTGATTTATTATTGCTATCTATTCATAACTTTATAATACTTTTTGTTTGTTGATTTTTAATATTTTTAAATCTTTTTTTTTTTTTTTTTGGGTCCAGTTGTGGGGCCTGAACTCTGGGCTTGGGCGCTGTCCCTCAGCTCTTCAGCTCAAGGCTAGTGCTCTACCACTTGAGCCATAGGGCCACTTCCGGCTTTTTTCTTTTTACTTATGTGGTGCTGAAGAATCGAACCCAGGGCCTCGAGCATGCAAGGCAAGCGCTCTACCACTGAGCCACCTTCCCAGCCCCCTTTTTTTTTTTTTTCCTGTCACTTGTGGGGCCTGAACTCTGGGCCTGGGAACTGTCCTTGAGCTCTTCAGCTCAAGGCTAGTGCTCTACCAGGTGAGCCACAGCGCCACTTCCAGCTTTTTCTGCTTATGTGGTGTTGAGGAATCGAACCCAGGGCCTCATGCATGCAAGACAAGCACTCTACCACTGAGCCACCTTCTCCGCCCCTTTAAATCTCTTTTATGTATAGTATTGGAGTTTAACTCAGGGTCTCACCTCTGACTTGATTGGCCCATACTCAAGCCCCTATCACAAAGTTATTTATTTATTTTTCTTCATGGTATTAATGTTTAATTTACGGTTTTACTTAGGCTTAGTCAGCAGGGACTCCACTCTTTCTTTTTTTTTTTTTTGGGTCCGGTCGTGGGGCCTGAACTCGGCCTGGGCGCTGTCCCTCAGCTCTTCAGCTCAAGGCTAGCGCTCTACCCCTTGAGCCACAGCGCCACTTCTGGCTTTTTTCTTTTTGCTTATGTGGTGCTGAGGAATCGAACCCACTTCCGGCTTTTTTTCTTATGTGGTGCTGAGGAATCGAACTCAGGGCCTCATGTATGCAAGGCAAGCACTCTGCCACCGAGCCACCTTCCCAGTTCAATTTTTGGTTTTTTAAAGTCAGAATCTCATAATGCAGCTTGGCCTAGAACCTCCTATGTAGCCCATATTCTCCTTGAACATGTGATCCTCTTGCCTTTACTTCCCATGTGTTAGAATTACAGGCATCACCACCATGCTCAGCTGTCCTAATTTTATAGTAACAACCTTATCTTGCTTTACATTTCTTTGACAGATGGCCAAGTGTGATAGTTGTAAACGACAGGGTAAGCTGAGTGAGTCCATCAAGTGGCGAGGCAACATCAAGCATTTCTGTAACCTGTTCTGTGTCCTGAAGTTCTGCCATCAGCAAAGTATGAATGAACCTATTCCACAAAATAAAGGTAAAATTAAACTAGGCTAATGAGGTTTTTGTGTCAGCAACATACAGTTTTAAAGAATTTAAGAACATATTTCAGTGCATTTAAATAGCCTAAATTTCTTTGAAGAATCTGTAATGACACTTGTGGGAAAATTAATTCTTTTTTTGGGGGGTCTGGTCGTGGGTCCTGAACTCTGCGTCTGGGCACTGTCCCTCAGCTCTACAACTTGAGCCATAGCGCCACTTTGGGCTTTTTTCTTTTTTTTTTTGCTTATGTGGTGCTGAGGAATGGAACCCAGGGCCTCATGCATGCAAGGCAAGCACTCTACCACTGAGCCACCTTCCCAGCCTGGAAAATTAATTCTGTTTGCTTTTTGATGTCATAATTAAATACACCAGGACATTAATGAACATCTAACTACTAAACTTTAATTTTTTTACTTTACAGTATTGGGATTTGAACTCAGGGATTCATGTTTGTTTGGTAGGCAGGTACTCTAATATTTTAATCTCTTCCCTAACCCTTTTTTTTTTTTCCCCTAGATAGGGCCTCATGATTTTGCCCTGGACTAGCCTCAGGCCAAAGTTCTCTTACCTAGGCCTTATATGTAGCTGGAATTATAGATGTGACCACTGTGAGGGACTGTGAATTTTTTTTTTTTTGGGTCCAGTCATGGGGCCTGAACTCTGGCCCTGGGTGCTGTCCCTCAGCTCTTCAGCTCAAGGCTAGCACTCTACCACTTGAGCCACAGCGCCGGCCTTTTTCTTTTTGCTTATGTGGTGCTGAGGAATCGAACCCAGGGCCTCAGGCATGCAAGGCAAGCGCTCTACCACTGAGCCACCTTCCCAGCCTATCTGTGAACTTTTTTTTTTTTTTTTTGCCAGTTGTGGGGCCTGAACTCTGGGCCTGGGCACTGTTCCTCAGCTCTTCAGCTCAAGGCTAGCGCTCTACCACTTGAGCTACAGCTCCACTTCCAGCTTTTTCTGCTTATGTGGTGCTGAGGAATTGAACCCAGGGCCTCATGCATGCAAGGCAAGCACTCCACCACTGAGCCATCTTCCCAGCCTCGTCTGTGAACTTTTTTTTTTTTTTGGGTCCAGTCGTGGGGCCTGAACTCTGGGCCTGGGCGCTGTCCCTCAGCTCTTCAGCTCAAGGCTAGCGCTTTCCCACTTGAGCCACAGCGCCACTTCCAGCTTTTTTCTTTTTGCTTATGTGGTGCTGAGGAATTGAACCCAGGGTCTCAGGCATGCAAGGCAAGCACTCTACCACTGAGCCACCTTCCCAGCCCCTCATCTGTGAACTTTTTTTTTTTTTGGGGGGTCTGGTCGTGGGGCCTGAACTCTGGGCCTGGGCACTGTCCCTCAGCTCTTCAGCTCAAGGCTAGCACTCTACCACTTGAGCCCACAGCACCACTTCTGGCTTTTTTTTCTTTTTGCTTATGTGGTGCTGGGGAATCGAACCCAGGGTCTCAGGCATGCAAGGTAAGCGCTCTACCACTGAGCCACCTTCCCAGCCCTTGTCTGTGAACTTTTGACATAGGGTCTTATGAACTTTTTATCAAGACTGTACTTGAACTGCAGTCTTCTTGATCTCTGCCTCCTGAGTAGCAGAAACCACAGGGATCAGCCACCACATCTAACTATTGTGATTGCTTTTCATTGAATTTATGTTAACATAAGTTAATAAATTATAAATAAAAATAGAAAATCAGGGCAAAGAAAAGGGAGATTTGTTTATTAATATAATTGTGACTGGTGTAAAATATGATCTAGAACTTGCTCATAGCCAAGGAAGAAAGGACAGCACATTAATTATCTCAGAAAATAAAGTAGACCAATTCTTCGTAGGTAGCAAAGTTTTTTCCTGGCTAAGAATAAAAACTGTCCTACAAGTAGGACAGTTAATGTGGTCAAAACACTCCAAAGAATAAATAGATAGATATGTGGTATATTTCAAGTATTAGATTAAAAAAAAACACTGATGATATAATCTGATTAAAGCCTGCCTGGAATGCTACTTAACTGGCAGAACCTATGGCTCTTTGCAATATGTTCTTGCCCACCGTGACACTTTCATAACTGCACATGCCTCATGCTGACTTTGGTATTAGCTGTCCATTTTTTTTACAAATCATTGTTATAAAGGTGATGTGCAGAAGAGTTTACAGTTGGACTGAGAAGGTGGCTCAGTGGTAGAGCGCTTGCCTTGCATGCATGAGGCCCTGGGTTCGATTCCTCAGCACCACATAAGCAAAAAGAAGAAAAGCCAGAAGTGGCGCTGTGGCTCAAGTGGTAGAGCGCTAGCCTTGAGCTGAAGAGCTGAGGGACAGTGCCCAGGCCCAGAGTTCAGGCCCCACAACCGGACCAAAAAATAAAAAGAAGAGTTACAGTTATAGAAGTTAGGTAATGCCTAAGTTTCTTTTTGACAGTGTCACCCCTTCCCTCGCTGTCTCCCAGTTTTTCCCTCCCATTTCATCTACAAATTGTATAGTTTACTTTCAACATAGTGGCTGGTGAGTACCACTGATGCATTTGTTTACCTTCCGTCCCTCCATTTGTGTGCCCCCCTTACCTTCCCAAACACAGATAAACAAAGAAGACAAAAAGAAAACAAAAACTGGGCTGGAAGGTGGCTCAGTGGTAGAGTGCTTGCCTTGCATGCATGAGGCCATGGGTTTGATTCCTCAGCACCACATAAACAGAAAAAGCTGGAAGTGGCGCTGTGGCTCAAGTGCTAATCTTGAGCTGAAGAGCTGAGGGACAGTGCCCAGGCCCAGAATTCAGGCCCCACAACCAACAAAAAAAAAAAAAAAAAGGAAAGAAAAAAAGAAAACAAAAGTCGCAAAGATGTTTCCATTTCTTAGAGTTCATTTCAGTAAATATTACTTTATTTATTTATTTTTATTCAATAAATATTACTTTATGTGTTCAGAACACAAAGGCATAGGCCTTTGTGTAGCCTTGTAGTTTTTAGGACCAGTCGAGGTGGTGGGCAATTCATGTTGTAAGATGGATGGATAGCTCTTTTATCAATTTACTTATAAGATTGCCAGATTTTTAAAAATTTTATAAAAATTGTTAAATTTTTATTTGAAGGAAACTTCTTTTTTTTTATCAGTCGTGGGGCTTGAACTCTGGGCTGGGGCGCTGTCCCTGTGCTCTTCAGCTCAAGGCGAGTGCTCTACCGCTTGAGCCACAACGCTACTTCTGGCTTAGTAGTGGTTTATTGAAGATAAGAGTCTCATGGACTTTCCTGCCTGGGCTGGCTTTGAACCATGATCCTCAGCTCTCAGCCTCCTGAGTAGCTAGGATTACAGGTGTGAGCCACTGGTGCCCCACTTAAAGGAAACTTCTTATAGAACAAACCAATTCATTCCAGAGTTAGTAACTATATTAACCTGTTAAATGTCATTTGAAGTTTATAATTTTACATAATCAGTCTTTTTTTAAACCCAGTGAGCACTAATTTGGCCCAAACCACCCAACCTGTAATTATACAGTTAGATATTTCTACCACTTCTTGAAAATTTAGTTGTCAAACAGATGTTTGTGTGTGTTAGAGTGACCCTTTTGTTTACATCAGGTCTCACCTGTTTTTAAATTTTAACCAGTGGGTGCTCCTAAGACAATAGCTGCGCTGATCAAGCACCCTTCTACAAGGAAAGCTACAACACCAGTTATAACCAGTGTGGTGTCATTGGCAAAAATACCTCCTACCCAACCCACAGGAAACACTAACCGTGTTTTAAAAGGTATGATTTGGTGTAAAGGCATTAGCTAGCTGGTAAGGTAAGTGTTGCCTAAGTATTCTTACTGGTAGTATCTTCCTCTACCTTATACTGTATAGGGAAATATACTCCTCTGCCTCTGGAGAGTGAGTGGGTATTAAGCAAGGTATGTGGGTGGGAAAGGAGGGAGTATGTGAAGTTCACTTCTTTATTTTTGTTGGTTGTGGGGCTTGAACTCTGGGCTTGGGTGCTGTCCCTGCGCTCTTCACCTCAAGGTGAGCACTCTACCACTTGAGCCACAGCGCCACTTCCATTTTTCTAGTGGTTTATTGGAGATAAGAGTGTCATGGACTTTCTTGCTTGGGCTGGCTTTGAACTGTGATCCTCAGATCTCAGCCTCTTGAGTAGGTAGGATTACACGCATGAACTACTGGCACCCGGCTGAAGTTCACTTCTTTAAGAACACAAATGATAGCAATATGCTTGTTCTGGAGATACTTGCCACTGGAGATTGGGATACAGTAGAATAGGCTGGGGATGGGGAGCCTTAGACCTTTATCAGGCCTTGTAGCTGATGCACCGATGAACTGATGAACCGATGAACTTCCTTTGTACCATCTTTTTGAGAAGTTCTGGTGTAGGCTCTAATCCACCTAAGGAAATTACCTTCTTGGTTTCAGTTTTCACTTAAGTATATTCTGGGATTTACAATGTATGCTTTAATTTATAACAGGTACTACTACCAGTGAGGCAGCCAAGATAATTAAAGATGTAAGTTTTATTAATTTTTTTTTGCTGATAATACCACCTGGGTTTATTTTCATTTGGATATAGTATTTAATATATCTGAATACTTTGCTGTTTGCAGCCTACCTTCAAAATGTGTGGTAATATGTAGTAACTTTTTTTTGAATTTTTACTATTTAACTGTAAGTCATTAATAAGGATATATTCCTGATTTATTTTACTGTTTATGTTTAAATTTATTAGTTTAGTTTTTCTTTTTCTTTTCTTTTTTTTTTTGTCAGTCATGGGCTTGAACTCTGGGCCTTGGTGCTGTCCCTCAGCTCTTTAGCTCAAGAGGAGCCCTCTTCCACTTGAGCTAAAGCGCCACTTCCGGTTTTCTGGTGGCTTATTGGAGATAAGAGTCTCACAAACTTTCCTACCTGGGCTGGCTTTGAAATAGGATCCTCAGATCTCAGCCTCCTGATTAGCTAGGATTACAGGTGTAAGCCACTAGTAGCTAAATTTATTAGTTTCTTTAGTGCTTACTAGTTCTATCTGGTTGTTTATTTTTCACATCTACGTTCAAGTCTTTGATGTGTATATGTGTGTGTGCATGTCAGTGTGTGCATGTTTGTCTGTGTGTATGTACCAGCCAATACTGGGGATTGAACTCAGGTTCTGGGCACTGTTTTTACTCAAGGCTGGTGATCTACTACTTGTGCCATAGGTCTGCCTCTCAGTTTTTGGTGGTTAGTTGGAGATAAGAGTCATAGAGCCGGGCGCTGGTGGCTCACGCCTGTAATCCTAGCTACTCAGGAGGCTGAGATCTGAGGATCGCGGTTCAAAGCCAGCCCGGGCAGGAGAGACCGTGAGACTCCTATCTCCAATAAACCACCAGAAAACCGGAAGTGGCGCTGTAGCTCAAGTGGTAGAGCGCTCGCCTTGAGCTGAAGAGCTGAGGGACAGCGCCCAGGCCCAGAGTTCAAGCCCCACAACCGACAAAAAAAAAAAAAAAAAGAGTCATAGAATAGTCGGGCACTGGAGCTACTCAGGAGGCTGAGATATGAGGATCACGGTTCAAAGCCAGCCTGGGCAGGAAAGTCGGTGAAACTCTTACCTCCAATAAACCATCAGAAAACCGGAAGTGGTGCTGTAGCTCAAGTGGTAGAGCACTAGCCTTGAGAACAAGAGCTGAGGGGCAGTGCTCAGGCCAGAGTTCAAACCCCACGACTGAAAAACAAAAACAAAACAAAACAAAAAACAAGAGTCATAGATTTTCCTGCTCAGGCTGGCTTTAACTTTTTTTTTGTCAATTATGGGGCTTGAATTCTAGGCCTGGGTGCTGTCCCTCAGCTCTTCAGCTCAAGGTTATTGCTCTACCACTTGAGCCACAGTGCCACTTGTGTTTTTCTGAGTGGTTTATTGGAGATAAGAGTCTCACAGAAAGTGACCCTGTAGCTCAAGTGGTAGAGCGCTAGCCTTGAGCTGAAGAGCTGAGGGACAGCACTCAGGCCCAGAGTTCAAGCTCCATGACTGACAAAACAAAACAAAAACCAAAACCTTCATTAGGGCTGGGATGTAGCTCAGTGGCAAAGCCCTTGCCTAGCAAGTGCAAAGTCCTGGGTTCGATCCCCAGTACCAAAAAAAGAAAAGACAAGGGGCTAGGAAGGTGGCTCAGTGGTAGAGCACTTGCCTTGCATGCCTGAGACCCTGGGTTCAATTCCTCAGTACCACATAACTAAAAAGAAAAAGCCGGAAGTGGCGCTGTGGCTCAAGTGGTAGAGCACTAGCCTTGAGCTGAAGAGCTGAGGGACAGCGCCCAGGTCCAGAGTTCAGGCCCCATGACCGGGCCCAAAAACAAAACAAAACAAAACAAAAGACAAAAAAAATAGTTTAAAAAACCCAAACAAAGAGTCTCACGGAGTTTCCTGTCCAGGCTAGCTTTGACCTGAGATCCTTAGATCTCAGCCTCCTGAATAGCTAGGATTATAGGTGAGAGCCACCAGTGCCCTGCACCTTTTTTTTTTAAAATTATTTGGTTAGTCATGGGGCTTGAACTCAGGACCTGGGTGCTGTCCCTGAGCTTTTTTACTCAATGCTAGTGCTTTATAACTTCGACTGTTTTTTTTTTTGGTGGTTAGTTGGAGATAAAGAGTTTCACAGATTTTCCTGGCCTGGCTGGCTGGAACCTTGATCTTCAGATCTCAACCTCCTTAGAAGCAAGGATTACAGGTGTGAGTCAACAAAACTCGCTTGACTTTCACACACACACACACACACACACACACACACACACACACACACTTACTTTTGTATTCTTAAAACCTCAATGGGCTTTAAAATTAGAAAGCTAGGCCTGACTTAAAGTAAAGCTTTTGATTAGCTGTTACCGTCTTTTACTCCATCAGAAATATTCATGCCCAAATTGCCAGAATTCTTTCCTCTTTTTCATTATCCTTGCCTGGCTATCATTTTTTTGGGATAAGCAATGCACTTATTTTTGTTTTTGCTTTTTTTAGTGGCACTGGGGCCTGAACTCAGGGTCTTGTGAATGCTAGGCAGACAGTATGCTGTGTGTGCAGGGGGCCAGTCTTTCTTGTTTTTGACCATTTCCTCTAACTGCAGAGGGTATACTTTTTTTTTTTTTTGTCATCATGGGGCTTGAACTCTGGGCCTGGCCACTGTCCCTGTGCTCTTCAACTCAAGGTTCTACCACTTGAGCCACAGCACCACTTCCGGTTATCTGGTGGTTAATTGGAGATAAGAGTCTCACAGACTTTCCTGCCCAGTCTGGCTTTGAACCCTCATCCTCAGAACTCAGACTCCTGAGTAGCTAGGATTGCAGGTGTGAGCCACTGGTGCCCAGACAGGGTGTACTCTTTTTTTATTTTTTAGTCAGTTGTGGGGCTGGAACTCTGGCCCTGAGTACTGTCCCTGCCCTCTTCAGCTCAAGGCTAGCACTCTACCACTTGAGCTACAGCGCCACTTCTGGTTTTCTGGAGATAAGAGTTTCACAGACTTTCCTGCCTCAGCTGGCTTTGAACCTGATTCTCAGATCTCAACCTCCTGATTAGCTAGGATTACAGGCGTGAGTCACTGGCGCCTGGCTAGGGTGTACTCTTAAACTACCAGCATAAAGACACTATGTTTTTGTTTTTTTTTAATCACATCTGAGTTTTGTTTGAAAGTCATTGAGTTTTTATTTTATTTTTTTTGGTCTGGTCATGTGGCCTGAACTCTGGGCCTGGGCGCTGTCCCTCAGCTCTTCAGCTCAAGGCTAGCGTTCTACCATTTGAGCCACAGCGCCACTTCCAGCTTTTTTTCTTTTTGGTTATGTGGTGCTGAGGAGTCGAACCCAGGGCTTCATGCATGCAAGACAAGCACTCTACCACTGAGCCACCTTCCCAGCCCCAGAGTTTTAATTTTTTTTATATTTTTATTTTTTATTTATTTTTTTTTGTCGGTCATGGGGCTTGAACTCTGGGCTTGGGCACTGTGCTTGTGCTCTTCAGCTCAAGGCGAGCGCTTACCACTTGAGCCACAGCGCCACTTCCAGTTTTCTAGTGGTTTTTTTTTTTTTGTTTGTTTGTTTTTTGGTCCGGTCGTAGGGCCTGGGCTCTGTCCCTCAGCTCTTCAGCTCAAAGCTAGCACTCTCCCACTTGAGCCACAGCGCCACTTCTGGCCTTTTCTTTTTGCTTATGTGATGCTGAGGAATCGAACCCAGGGCCTCAGGCATTTAAGGCAAGCGCTCTACCACTGAGCCATCTTCCCAGCCCCTTTCTCGTGTTTTTTATTGGAGATAAGAGTCTCACAGACTTTCCTGCCTGGGCTGGTTTTGAACTGAGATCCTCAGATCTCAACCTCTTGAGTAGCTAGGATTACAGGTGTGAGCCACCAGGGCCCAGCTTTTGTGACACTCTTATTTGTAGGTAGACACCTGAAAAATGGAAGTGGCACTGTGGCTCAAGCAGTACAGTGCTCACCTTGAGCTGAAGAGTACAGGGACACCGCCCAAGCCAGAGTTCAAGCCCCATGACTGACCAAAAAAAAAAAAAAGAAAGAAAAAGAAAAACACAGGGACAGTTCCCGGGCCCTGAGTTCAAGCCCTAAGACTAGTATGCAGGTGCACCTTCACATATACACGCACATACACGCTATATATATATTATACATATTATTATATTGTGTATATATTATATATATAGTATATATTTATGTGTATATGTATGTGTTTGTGTGTGTGTGTGTGTGTGTGTGTGAGAGCATGAGCAAGAGCTGGGCATTGGTGGCTGGCTCACGTCTGTAGTCCTAACTAGTCAGGAGGCTGAGATCTGAGGATTGTGGTTTAAAGCCAGCCTGGGCAGGAACATCTGTGAAACTGATCTCCAATTAAACACCAGAAAACTGCAAGTGACTCTGTGGCTCAGGTGGTAGAGTGCTCACCTTGAGCTGAAGAGCTCAGACACAGTGCCCGGGCCCAGATATCAAGACCCATGACTGACCAAAAAAAAAAGGGTAAGAAATTGTGTGTGCTACCTCTGATGCTATCCAGGCTTTAACTTAAAGAGACTTCTCTGGGAAGACAATGCTTGCTGTAAGAAATTTGTGAAAGTAACCAGACACTGGTGGCTCATGCCTGTAATCCTAGCTAATCATGAGGCTGATATCTGAGGATCATGGTTCAAAGCCAGCCTGGGCAGGAAAGTGCATGAGACTCCTATCTCTAATAAACCACTAGAAAACTGGAAGTGGTGCTGTGGCTCAAGCAGTAGAGCACTCACCCTGAGCTAAAGAGCGCAGGGAACAGTGCCTATGCCCAGAGTTCAAGCCCCACAACCCACCAAAAAAACATTAAAATTGTGAAAGTGATGCAAAATGCAGCTTTGCACAGATGAAAGGATTGAAAATTTCTTGGGCTAGAATTGGAAAACAGCTTGATGTGGGACACAGTGGTTAATTAGCCTAGACTTTCAACACAACCAACACTAATGTGGGATTTAGTTTTGACCACATTTTAGCAACAGTTAGGTTTTTTGAGGGGCGGGGGGGATGAAGGACTTGGTGCCAGTCATTAGGCTTGAACTCAGGGCCTGGGTGCTGTTGCTGAGCTTTTTTGTTCAAGGCTAGTGCTCTGTCATTTGGTTCACAGCCCCAATTCCAGCTTTTTGGTCGTTAATTGGAGATTAGAGTCTCACTGACTTTACTCTCTAGGCTGTCTTTGAACTGTGATCCTCAGATCTTAGCCTCCTGAGTTGCTAGGATTATAGGCACGAGCCACTAGTGCCTGGTGGCACTTAGTATTTTTTTTGTTGTTGTTGGTCGTGGGGCTTGAACTCTGGGCATGAGCGCTGTCCCTCAAGTCTTCAGCTCAAGGCTGGCGCTCTACCACTTGCGCTACAGCGTCACTTCCGGTTTTCTGGTGGTTAATTGGACCTAAGAGTTTCATGGACTTTCCTGCCCGGGCTAGCTTTGAACCACGATCTTCATATCTCAGCCTTCTGAGTAGCTAGGATTACAGGCGTGAGCCACCAGCGCCCGGCTTGGCACTTAGTATTTTTGAAGAGCATCTACATGTAGATTTCTGTTCTAAGGTAGCAAGGCAAAAGATGGAAAATATGGCTGCATATCAAGAAATGCTTAGCTGGGGAAAATGAGAAAAATCTTGAACTACATTACATTTATTTTTCAGTAAAAGTCTTGCACGAGTTAGATTGGCTCTCACTGTAATGTGGAAAGATTACTTACCTGAATTTAGTATATCCTAACTTTCCTATTATTTGTCATGGAAATGATGATAATTTCTGCTTAACTTTTTTCAGGCAACAGAGCAAATTAAGTTAATGAAATGACATTAAATTAACTTGTATTTAATTGCGTATTATATGTTGTGCATTAAATTATACTTTAAAATTACATGGCTAGTAAATTGCTACACCATTAACAATTATTCAATTAAGGTACTAATGTGTTACATGTTATTAGGTATTAACATGTTTATGTAAGCATCCTATACAATCTAAAACATTGGTTGTGGATTTATGTAACCCTGAAAATGTAACCCTCTTTTACTTTATGTTTTTGTGTGTTTGTTTGCTTTGGCAGGACTAGGGCTTGAAGTCATGCCTTGAATTTTCATTCAGCTTTCTTATTCATATTGTACCACTCGAACCAAGCCTCCAGTTCTCATTTTCTGTTTTTTTGTTTTTTAATTTTTCTCACCTCAGGCTTGATAGCCCCGTGCTCAAGCCCCTATCGCAAAGTTATTTGTTTATTTTTCTTCATGGTATTACTGTTTAATTTAGGGTTTTTACTCAGGCTTGCTCAGCAGGCACTCTCAATCCCCACAATCGAATATTTTTTGTTGTTGTTTTTTTTTTTTTTTTTGGTCGGTCGTGGGGCCTGAACTCTGGGCCTGGGCGCTGTCCCTTGAGCTCTTCAGCTCAAGGCTAGTGCTCTACCACCTGAGCCACAGCTCCACTTCCGGATTTTTCTGCTTTTGTGGTGCTGAGGAATTGAACCCAGGGCCTCATGCATGCAAGGCAAGCACTCTACCACTGAGCCACCTTCCCAGCCCTGCATGAAAAAAATTTTAATATTATCTTTCCTATATTATGTTAATATGTGACACAGTATTTTGGGTACATTCCTATTGACTGGTATATAGTATTGTCTGTAGGTACCATATTTAAACACCAGACTCTTTCTGGGTTTTCACTATTAGAAGGATATATTTATGTATATACATAAGTATATTATTTGTGCATATATGCAGGTATTTCTTGTTTAGAAATAGAAAATGGAATGATTGAGTCAAAGTAATTGGATATTTAGGTTTTTAATTGCCTTACATATTGGCTGTTTTAGTTTTTACCCATTTCTGCAGTCTCATCATCATTTAATACTGTGATATTTAAATTTTTTTATTTTGCCATTCTGTTTGATAGGGTTTTGCTATTTTCTTAATTTGTATGTCACTGATTATTTGTAAATTTACTTATATATATATTTTGTCATTTGGATTTTCATTTTCTTTTGTTATTGTTGTTGTTGGTCATAAGGCTTGAACATTTTTTGTTGTTGGTCATAGGGCTTGAACTCTGGGCCTAGGCATTGCCCCTCAGCTCTTCAGCTCAAGGTAAGCACTCTACTACTTGAGCCATAGTGCCACTTCGGGGTTTCTGAGTTGTTTATTGGACATAAGAGTCTTACGGAAGAACCCAATAGGGAGCTGGGTGCTGGTGGCTCATGCCTGTAATCCTAGCTACTCAGGAGGCTGAGATCTGAGGATCACAGTTCAAAGCCAGCCCGGGCAGGAAAATATGTGAGACTTTTGTCTCCAATAAATCACTAGAAAACCAGAAGTAGCATTGTAGTTCAAGCAGTAGAACGCTTGCCTTGAGCTGGGACAGTGCCCACTCCCAGAGTTCAAGCCCCACGACGGACAAAAAAAAAGTCTCACTTAGTTTTTTGCCCAGTCTGGCTTTGAACCTGGATCCTCAGATCTCAGCCTCCTGAGTAGCTAGGATTACAGGCGTGAGCCAACATTGTCCATCTTGGATTTTCATTGCTTTGAAATGTTTTTGTTTTTTTGGGGTCTGGTTGTGGGGCCTGAACTCTGGGCCTGGGCGCTGTCCTTCAGCTCAAGGCTAGCGCTCTACCATTTGAGCCACAGCGCCACTTCCGACTTTTTTCTTTTTGCTTATGTGGTGCTGAGGAATCGAACCCAGGGCCTCATGCATGCAAGGCAAGCACTCTACTACTGAGCCACCTTCCCAGCCCCTGCTTTGAAATTTTTTTCTGCTTTTCTTTGCTTTTGTTTTCCTGTTGAATTTTTTTTCCTAGTTTCTACAATGTCTTGTATGAAGCAGTTTGCTTTTGTCCATAGTTTTATTTTTATTTATTTGGGTCTGGTCGTGGGGCCTGAACTCTGGGCTTGGGTGCAGTCCCTCAGCTCTTCAGCTCAAGGTTAGTGCCCTACCACTTGAGTCTCGGCGCCACTTCCGGCTTTTTTTCTTTTTGCTTATGTGGTGCTGAGGAATTGAACCCAGGGCCTAATACATGCAAGGCAAGCGCTCTACCACGAGCCACCTTCCCAGCCCCAGTTTTATTTTTTAATGCTGGTCCTGGGGCTTATATACTCCCAAGCCACTGTCGCTGATGCTTTTGTTTGTTGGTTGATTGTTGATTCTTGGGGCTTGAATTCAGGGCCTAAACCCTGTCCCTGAGATTTTTTGCTTAAGGTAGTGCTCTGCCACTTTGAACCACAGCTCCACATCTAGTTTTTAGGTGGTAAATTGGAAGTAAGCATCTCAGGGACTTTCCTGTCTGGGCTGGTTTTGAACTGCAATCCTCAGATCTCAGCCTCCTGAGTAGCTAGAATTACAGATGCGAGCCACTGATACCTGGCTCCTGGCATATTTTTTGTTTTTGTAGTTTCAGTTATTCACAATCAACTGCAGTTTAAATATATTAAATGGAAAATTCTATAAATAAATAATTCATACATTTTAAACCATATACCATTCTAAGTAGTATTTATAAAATCTTGCACAATCCCATATGTCCTTAGATAGGTTTTTTTTTTGTTCATTGTGGGGACTGAACTCTGGACCTGGATGTTGTCCCTGAGCTCTTCAGCTCAAGGCTAGCACTCTACCACTTGAGCCACAGTGCCACTTCTGGCTTTTTCTGCTTATGTGGTGCTGAGGAATTAAATCCAGGGCCTCAGGCATGCAAGGCAAGCACTCTACCACTGATCCACCTTCCCAGCCTGATAGTTTTTTGTTGTTGTTGTTTGTTTGTTTTTTGGTCGATTGGGGGGCTTGAACTCTGGGCCTGGGTGCTGTCCCTCAGCTCTCCAGCTCAAGGCGAGCGTTCTACTAGCACCACTTCCAACAGCCTGATAGTTTTAAATACTACTTAGGTGATGGCTGATTCCCAGATACATTTCTCTGGCCCTGACCTTTGAAATCCAGATTCATGTATCTAACTGCCTACTTAACATTTATACTTGGATGCTTAATAGTTGTCTCAAATATATCTAGAATGTTTATATTCTCTCTAGACTTCTCTCCAGTGCTCCTTCCTCTCTTCTGTCTTCTTTCTCCTTCTCTTCCTTTCTTTCTTTTTTTTTGTACTGGTTATAGGGTTTGGACTCCAGGCATTGAACTTTAGTGCTCAACCACCTGAACCACACCTCCATTTTTATCTTTTTGCTTGTTAATTGGAGATAAGAGTCTGATTGGACTTTCCTTCCCTTACTGGCTTTGATCTCAAGATCTCAGCTTCTGAGCAGTTAAGATATACCAGTGTCTAGCTCTTTTCTGCTTCTTAACCCTCATAGTAAGAAACCATTTGTTTTTCTTCTGTAGTTACCCTTCCCTATCTTCCGTATCCATTCTTACCCTTCACATTTTTTTCTCTACATTGTTGCTAGAATGATCTTTGATAAACACAAAATAGATCATGTTATTCCTCTGCAACTTCAATGCCTTCCTGGAAAAGAAGACAAAGAAGGGGAGAAGAGGACCGGTAATGTGGCTCAGTGGTAAAGTGCTTGCCTAGCATGAATGAAGTCCTGGGTTCGATTTTTCAGTACCACATACACAGAAAAGGCTGGAAATGGTACTGTGGCTCAAGCGCTAGAGCGTTAGCCTTGAGCACAGAGAGGCTCAGGGACATTGCCCAGGCCCTGAGTTCAAGCTCCAGACCTGGCAAAAAAAAGCAGGTTGGGGGTGGGGTGGGGGGGAGAAGAGTGTCTGTATTATTAAAGTTATAGGGAGACTACAGGTATTATAAAACCATGTACATTGTTAAAACAACAGAAACTCAGAAATAAGACACACATACATAGTTACTATATATGTAGTATATAAATCTAGTAATGATAGGTATCATTTTAGATCAACAGGAGAAATATGGATAATTAATAAAGAGTATGACAGCCGAGTAAACAAATGGAAGAAAATTTAGTTGGAATTCTCCAGCTAATTTAGACCAAAATGTAGGTCAGATGGAAAAAATACTTAAAGAAATATTTAAGGGCTGGGAAGGTAGCTCAGTGGTAGAGCGCTTGCCTTGCATGCATGAGGCCCTGGGTTCGATTCCTCAGCACCACATAAGTAAAAAGAAAAAAAGCCGGAAGTGGCGCTGTGGCTCAAGTGGTAGAGTGCTAGCCTTGAGCTGAAGAGCTGAGGGACAGCACCCAGGCCCAGAGTTCAGGCCCCCCGACCGGACCCAAAAAAAAAAAGGGCTGGGAAGGTGGCTCAGTGGTAGAGCGCTTGCCTTGCATGCCTGAGGCCCTGGGTTCGATTCCTCAGCACCACATAAGCAAAAAGAAAAAAGCCGGAAGTGGAGCTATGGCTCAAGTGGTAGAGTGCTAGCCTTGAGCTGAATAGCTGAGGGACAGCGCCCAGGCCCAGAGTTCAGGCCCCACGACCGGACCCAAAAAAAAATATATATATATATTTAACATAATTTATTTTTATTTTTTTGCCAGTCAATGGGCCTGAACTCTGGGCCTGGGCGCTGTCCCTCAGCTCTTCAGCTCAAGGCTAGCTCTACCACTGGAGCCACAGCGCCACTTCCAGCTTTTTCTGCTTATGTGGTGCTGAGGAATCGAACCGAGTGCCTCATGCATGCGAGGCAAGCACTCTACCACTGAGCCACCTTCCCCACCATAATTTCTTATATTTATATAATACAGAAAATAATATAAGAAATTTATAAAAGCACTAATATATCTCAGGAAAAAGTTTTAATATAGAAATGGAAAAGTTTTTTTGTTTTGTTTTGTTTTGTGTGTCAGTTGTGGGGCTTGAACTCTGGGCCTGGGCGCTGTCCCAGAGCTCTTCAGTTCAAGCTAACTACCACTTGAGCCACAGCGCCATTTCTAGTTTACTGGTGGTTAATTGGAGCTTAGAGTCTCATGGACTTTCTTTCCTGGGCTGGCTTTGAACCGTGATCTTTAGGTCAGGTGTAAGACACCAGCACCCGGCTCCTGCTTGATTTTTTTTCTTCACATCTCTATTCACCACCTGAATTATACATTATGTTTGTTCTTTTTGTTTGCTTTCTTTGTCTCCCCATAGAATACAAGGTCCATTAGAGCAGGACTCTTGTTTTATTTTCTTCTGTATTCCCAGAACAGTATATAACTCATGGTAAACATTCAGTAAATATGTACTGAATGAATAAATCTGTTTTAAATACAGTCTTCTGTTTATATTTTAGCTTGGTTTTATAAAGACCCTTCATTTCAAAAGTCTGAAGTTCTAGTCAATGTGTTCATCTTTTCCTTTTACTCTTTTTCAATTAAAGTTCTTTCTTCATCATTTGAAGTTGTACAGTACTTTTTCTTTTTTCCACATTGAGATGTTTAATTGATACTGAATATGTTTTTTGTGTATGGTCTCAGGTTGTAGCTAATTTTTCTAAGTAGCCAGTTCTAATCAGCAAAAAAATATTTTCATATTTGGATCATACTATAGGCATCAGTGTGTGTGTGTGTGTGTGTGTGTGTGTGTGTGTGTGTGTGCATTCTGCTGGGGATTGAGCCTAAGCCTCACTCATGCCAGGCATGCACACACTTCATTATCACGTCACATCCCTGACCTCCCAGAACATTTTTTAAATCAAATGGGACTGATACTGATCAAGAGAAGGAGGAATCAGTGTATATTTTCAGAGTGCTACCTTTCAAGTGATAGCAAATATACTTAGTGGTAAGGTACTAAAACCACTCTTTGTTTTTTTGAATTTATTTTTAACTAGGAATCTACGCCAACAATGACCCTGAAACTTCTGCCTCCCCAGTGTTCTCAGCCTCCCAAGCTTCAGAAGAACAAAGGTATATTGTGTAAGCCGGTCACACAGACCAAGGCCACCTCTTGCAAACCACATTTGCAGCACATAGAATGTCAGACAGGTATGTTTCCTTGTGCTTTCCCTTGTAGAAAGTTTGTTTTTTGGCTTGCTTTTGTAAGAAAGTTAAAGCAGGAAGTGGTGCTATGGCTGAAGTGGTAGAGCACTAGCCTTGAGTGAAGAGCTGAGAAACAGTGCCTAGGCCCAGAGTTCAAGCCCCATGGCTGACCAAAAAAAAATAGCCAAGTGCTGGTGGCTCAGGCCTGTAATCTTGACTACTCAGGAGGCTGAGATCTGAGGATCACAGTACAAAGCAGCCTGGGCAGCAAAGTCTGTGAGACTCTTATCTCCAATAAACCACCAGAAAACCGGAAGTGGTGCTATAGCTCAAGTGGTAGGGCGCTAGCCTTCAGCTGAAGAGCTGAGGGACAGCGCCCAGGCCCAGAGTTTAAGCCCCACGACAAAAAAAAAAAAAAAAGTTAAAGCAGTTACTGTTCAAACCTTTACTCTTTTTTTTTTTTTTTTTAATCTGTCATGGGGCTTGAACTCTGGGCCTGAGCACTGTCCCTCAGCTCTTCAGCTCAAGGCTAGCGCCCTACCACTTGAGCTATAGCACCACTTCCGGTTTTCTGGTGGTTTATTCGAGATAAGAGTCTCATGGACTTTCCTGCCCAGGCTAGCTTTGAACTGCCATCCTCAGAACTCAGCCTCCTGAGTAGCTAGGATTACAGGTTTGAGCCACTGGTGCCTGGCACTTTGTTTTTTGGTGGTACTGAACTCGAAGCCTCATGCTTGCTAAGTTGATGCTCTATCATTGAGCCAGGCCTCCCTCTAGCTCTGCTTTTTGCTGTTGATTTTAGAGATAAGATCTAGTGAACTTTTTTGCTCTGGCTGGCCTCAAAATTTGATCTTCCAGATCCTGAATAGCTAAGTTTACAGCTGGTAATCACTGGTGTTAGTCTTTTTTTCTTTTTTAAAATATTAATTTTCCGTCGTAGAGTAAACCTAGTCTTAAAAAAGTATTAGACTGGGCTGGGAAGGTGGCTCAGTGGTAGAGCGCTTGCCTTGCATGCTCGAGGCCCTGGGTTCGATTCCTCAGCACCACATAAGCAAAAAGAAAAAAGCCGGAAGTGGCGCTGTGGCTCAAGTGGTAGAGCACTAGCCTTGAGCTGAAGAGCTGAGGGACAGCGCCTAGGCCCAGAGTTCAGGCCCCACGACCGGACCCAAAAAAAAAAAAAAAAAAAAAAGTGTTAGACTGAAAATCTTAGTCTTATAGAATTCCTGACTAGAAGTACCTGTCTAGCATGGGTGAAGTCCTTAAGTTCAGTCCCTAGGAGTGACCATAAAAAACAAAAACTGGAGCTGGGTGTGGTGTCATATGGTATTGAGAGACTGAGGCAGGAAGATCTTGAGTTAAGGTTAGTTTGGGTTACATAGTGAGAACCTGTCTCAAAAAAAAAGCTTTGTTAGTAATTATTGATATTTTATGTATGGTGCCTTTCCTTTGGTTGGAGTCAAAGCGAATCTAATTTTTGACAGGAAATTTGATTATTTTATAATCGTGTTGAAATTATATACTATTTGTGTATATACTACCTTGTATGCAAGATAGTAAAGGGTCTGTGGACACCGATATGTGTGGTATGTGTGTGCTTATATATTTTTTTAAAATTTCTAGATTATTAAAAAAAATTCTAGATTAAACATTGGATTGTTTTCTGTGTACTATTGTCAGTTTCTTTGTCACTTGGCATTACAGTGAAAACATTTTGCATCAATATAAGTTTATGTATTTGGGGTTCATAAAACAAATAGGTTGGGGCTGGGAAGGTGGCTCAGTGGTAGAGTGCTTGCCTTGCATGCATAAGGCTCTGGGTTTGATTCCTCAGCACCACATAAGCAGAAAAAGCTGGAAGTGGTGCTATGGCTCAAGTGGTAGAGTTTTAGCCTTGAGCTGAAGAGCTGAGGGAAAGTGCCCCGGCCCAGAGTTCAGGCCCACGACCGACAAAAAAACAAAACAAAACCCAAAACCCCATATAGGTTGCAGTTATATGTGACATAACCATCATCCTAAGATTGGACATTTAGATACTTATTTACTTATTTGTTTTTGTTGACTTTTTTTGGCACTGGGGATCAAACTCAGCGCTCAGGCACTGTCCCTAGCTACTTTTGCTCAAGGCTAGCACTCTACCACTTGAGCCAGAGCTTCTAGTTTTTTCTGTTTAGGTGATACTAGGTATCACTAGCTTTGTGCATGCTAGGCAAGCACTCTACTACTAAGCCACATTCCTAGCCCCTACTATAGATTTTTAAGGCTTTTGTTTGTTTTTTTTTTTGTGGTCAGTCCTAGAGCTTTTTTTTTTTTTTTTTTTGGGGGGGGGTCCGGTTGTGGGGCCTGAACTCTGGGCCTGGCACTGTCCCTTAGCTCTTCAGCTCAAGGCTAGCGCTCTACCACTTGAGCCACAGCGCCACTTCCAGCTTTTTTTCTTTTTGCTTATGTGGTGCTGAGGAATCGAACGCAGGGCCTCATGCATGCAAGGTAAGCACTCTACCGCTGAGCCACCTTCTCAGCCCCAGATTTTTAAGGCTTTTGAAGATCTGTTGCTATAGTGTTCTTCTGAAAAGTTCTATGAGTTTGTATTTCAACTATCAGTGTTCAAGAGGATCCATTTTTCTGTACCCTCACTGGCGCTATTAAAATCTGTTACTCATATTTTTCCTAATCCTAAGTATGAAAAATTTTAAGATTCAAATATGTTAATAATGCAGCATAACAAATTCCAGTACATCTTTTTTTTCTTTTTTTTTTGGTCAGTTGTGGGGCTTGAACTCAGGACCTGGGTGCTGTCCCTGAGCTTTTTTGCTCAAAGCTAGTGTTCTACCACTTTGAGCCATAGCACCACTTGTGGTTTTTCTGTGGTTAATTAGAGATGAGTCTCATGGCCTTTCCTTCCTGGGCTGACTTTGAGTCTTGATCCTCAGATCTTCGCTTCCCAAGGAGCTAAAATTGCAGGCATGAGCCACCACTGCCTGGCTACATCTTTTATATCTGTTTACCAAGGGTTAACTTTCCAATGTTTCTTTCCTCTTTTTCCTTTTTCTGAACTCTTTGAAAGTAACTGAGAGTATGAGACTCTGAGTTCTAGCCTATGTACCACCACAGAGTCAAAGTAAAATAATAATTGGTTGGACATCATGTTATATTCCTATAATCCTAGCACTTGGGAGGCTAGAACAAGAGGATTACAAGTTCAAGACTAACATAATTCTATAACATAACTATATAACATATAGTGAGAGGCTGTCTTAAAAAAAGCCACAAACATAAAATAACATATTGTTATTGACTAAGCATTAAGCTAAATTAATGGCATATCAGTTGTTTTTAAACTTTTGTGTTTGAACTTGAGGCCTTTCGCTTGCTAGATAAGCACTTTATCATTTGAGCCAAACCTCCAGACCTTTTGCTTTTAGTTTAAGATAAGATCTTGAGTTAGGGGCTGGGAAGGTGGCTCAGTGGTAGAGTGCTTGCCTTGCATGCCTGAGACCCTGGGTTCAATTCCTCAGCACCACATAAGCAAAAAGAAAAAAGCCGGAGGTGGCGCTGTGGCTCAAGTGGTAGAGCGCTAGCCTTGAGTTGAAGAGCTGAGGGACAGTGCCCAGGCCCAGAGTTCAGGCCCCACGACCCGACCCCAAAAAGAAAAGATCTTGAGTTAATTTTTCCTGGGCTAACCTCAGAACATGAATCTTTATTTCCGCCTCTTGAGTAGTGTATTCTTTGAAAATACAGATAGTAGGCCGGGCGCTGGTGGCTCACGCCTGTAATCCTAGCTACTCAGGAGGCTGAGATCTGAGGATTACGGTTCAAAGCCAGCCTGGGCAGGAAAGACCATGAGACTCCTATCTCCAATAAACCACCAGAAAACCGGAAGTGGTGCTGTAGCTCAAGTGGTAGAGCGCTCGCCTTGAGCTGAAGAGCTGAGGGACAGCGCACAGGCCCAGAGTTCAAGCCCCACGACCGACAAAAAAAAGAAAATACAGATAGTAGCACAGTGTAAATTGTAAATGTGTGTGTGAAAAACAGAAAAACATTGCTCACTTGTTCTTGAACGTAACAGTGATTCACATGTTTCCTTCAGATTTACCTATGCCTAATGAGAGAAATGATGCACAACCCGATTCTCCACCTGCAAAGAAAAATAGAATAGGGTTTTTCCAGACTTATGATGCAGAATATTTAAAAGTCGGTTTTATCATGTGTCCTGGATCAAAAGAGAGTTCACCAAGGCCACAATGTGTCATTTGTGGAGAGATCTTACCCAGTGAAAGCATGAGGCCAGCAAGCCTTTCTCATCACTTGAAGACAAAACATTCAGAATTGGAAAACAAGCCAATAGATTTTTTTGAACAAAAATCTCTTGAAATGGAACGTCAAAACAGTTCTTTAAAAAAATGTTTACTAGTTGAAAAGTCACTTGTGAAAGCTTCTTATTTAATTGCTTTCCAAATTGCTGCCAGCAAGAAGCCATTCTCCATTGCTGAAGAATTAATTAAACCATATTTAGTAGAAATGTGTTCAGAAGTTTTGGGTTCAAGTGCAGGAGACAAAATGAAAACCATTCCTCTTTCTAATAATACAATTGGCTATAGGATTGAAGAGCTCTCTGCAGATGTTGAAGATCAGCTGATTCAGAAGGTCAGAGAGTCGAAGTGGTTTGCCCTTCAGATAGATGAGTCATCCGAAATCTCAGACGTCACCCTTCTCTTGTGCTATATTCGTTTCATTGACTATGATTGTAGTGATGTAAAAGAAGAATTATTATTTTGCATTGAAATGCCTTCTCCAGTCTCTGGTACTGAGATCTTCGAAGTAATAAATAAATACATTGATAGCAAATCCCTGAGTTGGAAACATTGTGTTGGTCTCTGTACTGATGGAGCTACCAGCATGACTGGCAGGTATTCTGGTTTAAGGTCAAAAATTGAGGAAGTGGCCATGAATACAATGGCATTCACACATTGTTTTATTCACCGGGAACATCTGACAGCTGCAACGATATCTGCATGCTTACAAGAAATTCTTTTACAGTCAGCACAAATTTTAAGTTTCATAAAAAGCAATGCATCAAACTCACGAATGTTAACGATATTGTGTGAAGAGCCAGGGTCTGAGCATGTGAATCTACCACTTCATGCTGAGGTTCGTCAGATATCAAGAGGGAGAGTTTTAACGAGATTGTTTGAATTGCGAAATGAAGTTGAAATATTTTTAAATCAGAAACATTCAGATTTGGCTTCTTATTTTCATGATGAGGAATGGGTTGCAAAGTTGGCCTATTTAGCAGATATATTTTCGCTTATAAACGAATTACATTCAGGTCTCCAAGGAAGCATGACGACTTTCTTCAGTTTGTATAACAAAATGGACATATTTAAGGAAAAGTTAAAATTGTGCTTGAAGTACACACAGGAGAGTGATTATGACATGCTTCCTTCGTTATCTGAGTTTGTGAAATCAACAGACTTAAATGTGAAAAGCATTACAAGCATCATTTTTGAGCATCTGCAAGGACTTTTTCAATTGTTCCATGACTGTTACCCACCAGAAAGAGACTTGCGTTCAGGAAATTTGTGGATAGTTAATCCTTTTATGAATCACCAAAATAATAATTTTACTGTTGTGGAAGAAGAAGAACTGACAAAGTTATCTTCAGATTTAGGATTGCAATCAGTATTTAAATCAGTGTCTGTAACTCAGTTTTGGATAAATGCAAAGGCAGATTATCCAGAACTCCATGAAAAGGCAATGAAATTTTTATTGCCCTTTTCTACTGTTTACTTGTGTGATGCTACCTTTTCAGCTTTGGCTGAGTCAAAACAGAGAAGCTTGTTGATTTCTGGCCCTGCTCTACGACTGGCAGTCACATCCTTAATTCCAAGAGTAGAAAAGTTAGTGAAGGAGAAAGAATAGCAACCTGCATATTGCTTATCATTAGAGTCTATAATTTTGTGTGAAATTTTGTATAAGTATCCTACAATATAATTTCCTAGTGTGGATTTGTGTTTTCAATAATTAAAGTCTTTAATAATTTTTCTTTGTGGAGAGACTTGGTAATTGTACATTTATACATAATTATGTGTAATTTTAATACAAGGTAGAAAATTTAGCTAATATTAGCTAATAAACTTGGGTTGATGACCAAGATTGAAGGTAATTAAAGACCTAGTTTGTAATAGCCCTACCTGGATTTTTTTTTTCTTTTGGTCAGTTGTGGGGCCTGAACTCAGCCTGGGCACTGTCCCTCAGCTCTTCAGCTGAAGGCTAGCAGTCTACCACTTGAGCCACAGCAACACTTCTGGCTTTTTTGCTTATGTGGTACTGAGGAATCGAATCCAGGGCCTCATGCATGTAAGGCAAGCACTCTACCACTAAGCCACCTTCCCAGCTCCTGGATGTTTAAACAGTACATTTAGAAAGTACATAAGAAGCTGGACACAGGTGGCTCATGCCTGTAATCCTAGCTACTCAGGAGGCTGAGATTAGGAGATCCCAGTTCAAAGACAGCCTAGGCAGAAAAGTCTTATGAGATTATCTCTAATTACCCAGTAAAATAAATAAAAGCTGGAAGTGGCAGTGTGGCTTAAGTGGTAAAACTCCAGCCTTGAGTGAAAAAGCCAAGGGATAACAAACAACAGGGCCCTGAGTTCAAATCCCATTTCAGGCACACACAAGGAGGGAAGGGGAATTTCATTCTCTAGCCAGTCCCTGACATCCCACAGATGGAAACAGCATAAATGTTTGAGACTTTCCAGGAAGACCTGCTAGACTAGTACTTGGCAAAAATTTTTCATAAAGGACTAGATAGTAAATATTTTAGACTTGTTTTTTGTTGGTCCTGGGGTCTGAACTCTGGGCCTGTGCACTGCGCTGACCCTCAGCTCTTCAGCTCAAGGCTAGCGTTCTACCACTTGAGCCATAGCGCCACTTCCAGCTTTTTCTGCTTATGTGGTGCTGAGGAATCGAATCCAGGGCCTCATGCATGCAAGGCAAGCGCTCTACCACTGAGCCACCTTCCCAGCCCTCATTTTTCTCCTCATATTGTGGTCACTACTCTGCACTTGCAGTACAAAAACATCCATACATAATATACAAGTGTAGCTTGTATATTAATACTGAGAGGAATTTCAGATGATTTTCATATGTCATGAAAGCTTTTAGGCATTTTCCATTTAAAAATTAAATATGGGGGCAGCACCGTCAGCTGACTGATTTGGCCCAAAGTTCACAGCTTTCCACCACCGATGGATGGGCCAGACTTGGTTGGCTGAAGCCAATTTCCATAGCTTCAAATTTCTAGATTCACAGACGTCTTCCATGTTTTAATTCGAGCTAGAGCAGTTAGGGGGAAGGAGGATGTACTGTAATTGTTGGTTATGACTAGTGATTGTACCGTGTACTAATTTAAAAACTTGAACTCAGGGCCTGGTCGCTGTCCCTCAGCGCTTTCGTTCAAGGCTGGCGCTCTACCACTTTGAGCCACAGCACCAGGTCCGGTTTTTGAGTGGTTAATTGGAGATAGGAGTCTCACGGCGGGGGGGGGGGGGGGGGGGGGGGTGTCTGTCCAAGTCGGCCTCAGCGTCCTTAGCAGGATTACAGCCGTGAGCCACCAGCGCCAAGCACTTCCTGAGCCATTGCAGTGGCGGTCATCAGCGCCTCCAGGGATGCAGACCCTGGGTCTAGCTTGGGTGGCCGGCAGCTAGAGAGGTCTGGGAGGGACCGGTAAGCGGGAGCCTGGCTGTTCTGTAGCCACGTTTACTGGTACTAGGTACTGGCGGGGAGGTCGAGGCTCAGCCCGAAGTCCAAGGGCCTGACTATCAGATCCGGTAGGTCGCGTCCCGGTCCCCGTCCCGCGCGCCGGGTGCTGGGCGCTGGCGCAGACCGTGGCGGTCCCGGCCCCCGAGGCGAGGCGAGGCGAGGGGCGGGAGCGGGTGGCGCGGCCTTCCGGCCGAGCAAAAGGACAAAACAGACCAACCTAGCGCTCCGCGGGGCGGGGCGGGGCGGGGCGGGGCGGGGCGGCCTCGCGGGCAGCCCGGGGCGGCCGAGCGCAGGGCCCGGGGCAGGCGCGGCCATGGCGCGCGCGCTCGCCGCTCTGCGCTTCCTGCTGGGCGGCTTCTTCGTGCTCACCGGGGCGGCCAAGCTCTCGCAGCTCTCTTCTCCGGTGTCGGAGCAGATGGTGAGCGGCGCGGCGCGGCGGGAAGGGACCCGGCGGCGTGCACTCGGCCTGACCGCCCCGTCTAGTTCCCTGCGGGGTCCGACAGCGCCGGGGCTGGGACCTTCCTGGGGGTGGGGGGGAGGGGGGGGGGCGGGGAATCCTCGAGGTCTCTGCAGCTCTCCCAGGTGGAGGACATCGAACCTCCACCCCTGGTCGAGAATGCAATCCCCGGGCAAATTAAGAGTCCAAGGGGATCTGGGGCGGGGGGAGGAACGGAGGGAGTGACCGAATGCCCCACTTCCTGGTCCTTGGGAGCCTGGTAAGGCCTGGTTTGTAACCCCCACGGCGGGGATGGGACGGAGGGGGGGGGGGGAACAGGGTGTGGGGGGACCGAGGGTAGGAACAAGCCTCAGGGTGATGCATAATTTGACAAAAGTTTCACATCTAGTCCAGAAACAGCACCTAAACCAAGTCCTCCTAATTCAGGAACCTGAAAGAGAGGCTTAGATGTCACCCTCCAGCCTCCTCTCTGCCCCTCTCTTCTGTGCCACCTCTAAATATTCCCTTCATAGCATCCTGAAGAAGGAAGCAGGCATGGTCCAAAGGAGAAGAAAAATCTGGAGTTCTCAAAGCCTTGGCCGGAGATGGGACAGCTCAAGCCTGGCTCCCTCCTCCTGGGACTTGGAGAGGTCTTGTGAGAAAATCAGGCCATCTCTGCACCACCCCAAGCCCTCTACACTGTTTCCTGATTCCAAAGCTCAGCCCCAGAAGGGAACCGTTTTTTCTCCAGGCTCACCTCAGGCCTTGACCTAATCTTAGAGGCATATTTTGTTGGAGGAGTCAGGCCTCAGTTCCTGTTGACTCAGGGCAACTTGTCCTTGGTCAGTGTTACTGATTGGCATTCTCCACCATTCCCCTAGAAAGCCCTGTTTGTGCAGTTCACTGATGTGTTCCCGTTGAAGTTGTTCGGCTACCAGCCAGATCCCATGAACTATCAAACAGCGGTGGGCTGGCTGGAACTTCTGGCTGGGTTGCTGCTGATCCTGGGCCCACCGATGCTGCAAGAGATCAGTAACTTGCTCTTGACACTGCTCATGATGGGTAAGAGAGCCAATTAGCCTTGGGAATTAGGGTCTTCTGGGGTGGGGGAAGATGATGGAAAGATCTGGCTGTCTCCCTTTTCTCTGAGTCTTGGTACACTTCCCGCTCAGCTGCATCTTCTGTGAGCTTCAAGACTAGGGCAGGTACTTTGGGAATTTAATGTCCAGCACTGACTCAGGTTGAATTGATTTTCTCCCATATCACTTCTATGGCTGTATAATATTCTATTGTGAGGATGTTTTGTAACCACCAAGCCCCTACTTGTTCTGCCACAAGCTCACTTTTGGGAGGAGCAGCAGCTGCCACTTGACTTACACACCTCGCAGTTAGGAGTGGTGAGCAGAAAAGCAGGGGGCACAGAGTTTCTCTAGAAGGGCTTCTGCTAGAAGCTTTTCCCACAGAACTGGAGATCCACAAAACAGCTATGGCTTAAAAGGCCAGACATGGGGGCTGGGAAGGTGGCTCAGTGGTAGAGCGCTTGCCTTGCATGAGGTCCTGGGTTCGATTCCTCAGCACCACCTAAGCAGAAAAAGCCAGAAGTGGCGCTGTGGCTCAAGTGGTAGAGCTCTAGCCTTGAGCTGAAGAGCTGAGGGACGGCGCCCAGGCCCATGACTGACCAAATAACAAAAAAAGACAGACATGGGTTATCATTTTTTTGTATGTGTGTGCCGGTTATCATTTTTTTGTATGTGTGTGCCATTATTGGAGCTTGAACTCAATGGAGGCACCATCCCTTAGCTTTTTCACTCAAGGCTAATTTGAGTCACAGCTTTTCCAGGTTTTTGTTTGTGTGGGGGGGGAAGGGGGGAGCGGTAATTTGAGAGAAGAGTCTCAGGGACTTCCTTGCCTGGGCTGGCTTCAAACAGATCTTAGCCTCCCGAGTAGCTAGAATTACAGGTAAACCATTATTATTACCACAGCTACAGCCTTGCCTCTTCTCTGATGTTTTTTCCATTTCTAGAACTTTCTTCCTTTTTCAGATCTTTGCCACTCTTCCACCACCAGTCCTCTGCCTGCTTCTGCCAGTATGATGTAAGATTAAGAAAGGAGAAGAGCCCCTACTGTTTGACTGGAATGTTTCTGTTTCTTTCTTGTCACTTGTAAGATACTTCTGATACTCAGTCCTACTTTCTTTGGGGAGGCCAGAGAGGAGTGCAGCTGATTTGTGGGGCAGGGTGCTTAATGGAAGGGGTGGGATTGAGGCAGTCAGCCCAAGATGGAATCTCCTGGGTGCCCCTCAGGGACCTCACCTTGCATTCCAGGGGCAATCTTCACTTTGGCATCTCTGAAAGAATCACTGAGCACCTGCATCCCAGCCATTGTTTGTCTGGGGCTCCTGCTGCTGCTGGACATCTGTCAGCTCTTAACCCAAACTAAGAAGGTGGTCAGATCCTCTAGGAGGAAGACTCGCCATGCATTCAGGGAACCTTGGAAGACTCTTCAAGCCATGTAGCTACCAGTGCTGGAACATGCTGGAACACACAGTCTACTACATTTCTACGTGTGGGGTCATTCAGTGTTGAAGATACCTTGTCTACCTGGCTTTGATTGTTCTGTACTGTTCTGTTTAGAGGGGTACACACTAGACATACTAACATTTCACATAGCATGTAAATGTAGAAAATAAACTCACAAGAAATTTAAATCACTTGTAATTCCAATGTCCTGAAATAATCCCTTTTAATGATTTAGTATAATGGTACCTCTTGACCTTTTTGTTCCTTTATATAGATATATATTTTAAAAATGAAAACAGGACCATATAACCTACTTCATTACTTGCTTTCAGAACCCAATATTCTGTACTACCATTCTCTGTCAGTTTTATATCATTAATGTTAATAACTGAATAGTATTCCATCCTAAGGGTATATTGCATTTATCTCACCCCTTCCCTTGAGTTACTCACACCTTTGAGTTATTCACACCTTTTTTTTTGGCCAGTCCTGGGGCTTTTACTCAGGGCCCAGGGCACTGTCCCTGAGCTTCTTTTGCTCACGGCTAGCTCTCTACCACTTGAGCCACAGTTCCACTTCCAGCCTTTTCTGTTTATGTGGTACTGGGGAATCAAACCCAGGGCTTTGTACATGCTAGGCAAGCCCTCTACCAGTAAGCCACATTCCGAGTCCATTCCATTTTTTTCTGTGTGTAAATTTAATTGTAAATCAACAATATATTTATTTTCCATTCTCTGGAAGTGAGGGTGCTGGTTCAGAAAACATGCATATTTCAAGGGGGTTCCATACATGTTTAGAATTTTCAGGCTGAGTATTGCAGTGTTTACATTTGTTTCTGCCTATGCCCTTCTGAACCATTTGACTCCTTATTGCTCACAAAGATTGGCCATTTGGCAGGACCTGAATTCACCAGCCTGTGATGGTGAGATATGACACTTAATCCAGTGCTCCTTGATACTGACATGGGGGTGAGGAGTAGGAGAACAGCCAACTCCCAGGAATTGCTGAGTGGTTTAGCAGGGCCAAAGCTTGAGAGGAATCCCAGAGGTCCTTGAGGGTCAGTAGGAGGCTTATGCGTTGACAGTTCTCAAGGGAGGTAGACAACATGTTAGAGCACGTACTGTCATGTCACAAAACCATCTTCCCTTTAATAAAGAGGGGTCCTTTTGGGTAAGTGATGGACTTTGCATAAAGGAAAAATAATGAGAAAAAAGTATTCCTTTTTCTTCTCTTTTTTTTTTCTTTGCTGCCCAAAGTTGTTGTTCTTTTTTTTTTTTTTTTGTTCTGAGTTTGAAGCAGGACTTCTTTGTGGTCAAAAGGTAAAGTAGGAGCCAGGTGCCAGTGGCTCACACCTATAATCCATAAAGCTGAGATCCAAGGATCATGGTTCTAAACCAGCTGAGGCAGGAAAGTTTGTGGGATTCATCTCCAATTAACCACCAAAAAGCTGGGACTAGAAAGAGAAGTGTGGCTCGAGTGGTAGAGCACCAGCCTTCAATGAAAAAACTAAGGGACAATGCCCAGGCCTTGAGTTCAAGCCCCAGTACTGGCACCAAAAAAAAAGGAAAGGAAAGAAAAAACAGATCGGAAGACTTGAGAATTGTGGAGCCCTTTCAGCCCTGCCAAGGATGCTGTTTGTATGTGTGTGTGTGTGTTTTGTGACTTCCTAGGGAGAGGACCTGCACTAAGGAAGTCCAAGGTCACTGTGTATAAGCCTGTCCATGATCCCTTCATCACAAGGCCATTCCTCCATCCATGCATGGCCCCCTTTGCCACTGATGTGGTGAGAAGACTTGGGCCTTTTTTTGGATAGGACTCTACATTCCAGCCTGGTTTCTCAGGAACTCAGTTGGGAATCCGAGCACAGGCTTACTTTATGTAGCACCACCCCATGTGTTTGCCTCTTACTCTGTCTACAGAGAGCACCTTTATTCTAGCACCAAGGCTGCAAATGGGGAATCTCTCTGGGACTCCTGCCTCTTCTCCTTTCTCACAGCATATCACCAAGAATTGTGGAGCCCAGGCCCTCCTCTGTCCCCAGCAGTTGCTGGCTGAGTTTGGTCTTTACCCCCTTCTTCCTGGTCTTACTTTTGTCTCCAGTGTTCCCTCCCAGCAAGGATGGAGTATGAGGGGACAGAGTTGGGATTGGGTATAATGGAGGTCTTTGTGGCTTCTTCCCTCCAGGAGTGACCTGGGTCTTGACAATTGCAGCCCCTGGGATGACCCTACTCTCCATCATCATACCCACAGTCTATACCTTAGTGCTGTGCCTGGGGCCCTCTGCCCATGTGTGGCAGTGTTGGTTTGCAGTAGCAGACTTGTGGGCTAGGCCTTACATCTCTGCTCAAGCTGGTCTGCCCCTAGGGGTCCTGGAACTGGCCTTCCTGGAGCTCATCAGGGTGCCGAGGGGTTACCTGCGAAGCTGGCCATGCCACATAAGCTATGTTCAGATTGAGTCTCAGTCTTTGCCCTCTGCCTGGTGCCCAGCAAGTTGGTGATGGTGGGCTTGGTGGCTGAGCAGGAGGGCGCCTCAGGCTGTGATGCCACTGCTATGTGCCACGTGATACACCCTCAGCCTGGCACTGCTGAGCCTGCATAGCCGGCCCGGCTCACCCATGGTTTTTCCCTTCTCCAAACAGGCTTCTGCCATGCTGAGCTGCTCCCCATCTCCCAGCCCCTTGCCTTCCCTGAATGCTTCTTCCTGCTGCCATCCTCTAGGTGGTTTGGGGGTAGAAAATGCTGTTTGGATGGAGTCCAACTTCTGTAGTAACCCCATACTAGCCATGTAACCAGGGACTGTTGGGCAGAACGCTCTTTGTGACCTTTTATGTTCCAGAGACTTTTACCAGCTTTTGGATTTAAGAAACATGCAATTTGTCTCTTACACCTCTTGAAAAGAACAAAATAATCCTCAAAAACCTATGTGGCCCACAAAGCTTTGGTCTCCAGTCGGGCCTTCTTCTCTACTATCCTGCCTGTACGATCACAGGCACCTTCTCAGTCCATGCAACATGCCAGCTTCTTACCCTTTGCATCTTTGGCTAGAAATGATCTTCCCCTGACCTTCAGTAATTTTTTTTCTTTTGTAGTGGTGGTACTGGGGCTTGAACTCAGGGCCTGGGCACTGACCCTTAGCTTTTTTGCCCAAGGGTAGCACTCTACCACGTGAACCACACCTACACTTCTGGCTTTTTGCTGGTTCATTGGAGTTAAGAGTCTTTAGGACTTCCTTGTCAATGCTGGCTTTGAACCTCAATCCTCAGATCTCAGCCTCCTGAGTAGCTAGGATTACAGATGTGAGCTATTAGCACCTAGCTTGGAAAGCTTTTTTTTTTTTTTTGGTCCAGTCGTGGGGCCTGAACTCTGGGCCTGCGTGCTGTTCCTCAGCTCTTCAGCTCAAGGCTAGCGCTCTACTACTTGAGCCACAGCGCCACTTCTGGCTTTTGGGAAGCTTTTCTTGACTACCAAAACATCTAAACCTCTCCCCTCCACACATACAGTATTGTTCTTTTCTCAATTGCAACCAAATCATTAACTGAGTAATATTTTTTCCTTTTTCTCATCAGAATGTATTTACATTAATCCATAAGAAATTGCCATTTTTGTAAGGCCTCCAATGGTTGAATATTGGCAATTCTATTTCATGTAATTCAGCTTAATAAATTCCATGTTTACCTTGTTCATTGTAGTATCTCCCTGAGCTTGGTATTGTGCCTTGCACATAGTAAGAGTTCACAGATTTCAATGAGTGATTAAAGTCTGAACATCATTAATTTCAAACTCGTAGCCAGGTGTTGTTTGCTCATGCCTATAATTCTAGCTATTCAGGAGGTTGAAATCTGATAATCGAGGCTCATACCCAGCTCAGACAGGACTTTTTTTTTTTTTTTTTTTTGTCAGTTGTGGGGCTTGAACTCTGGGCTTGGCACTGTCCCTCAGCTCTTCAGCTCAAAGTGAACACTCTACCGCTTGAGCCATAGCGCCACTTCCAGTTTTCTGAGATAAGGTCACAGCCTTTCGTGCCTGGGCTGGCTTTGATCTCAGCCTCCTGAGTAGCTAGGATTATACGCATGAGCCACCGACACCTGGCCCTTGAGTCTCTTATTCCCAGTTAACTACCAAAAAGCCAGAAATGGAGCTATGGCTCACATGGTAGAGCTCCAGCTTTGAGCAAAAAAGTTAAGGGACAGTGCCCAGGCTCCAAGTTCAAGTCCCAGTACCAGGACAGAAATAAAACCCCAAATTCTAATGTACTCAGACATCTCAGTCTCTATTAAGGTTTCCTCAAGTGTTTCTTGGATTCTCCAAGCTTGTCTTACCACTGCATGCTTTCCCCATTGGCCCTGATGATTGCTTCCTTCTGCTGTTGCTGGATGCTGCAACTCTGCCATCACTTCCACTGTGCCAAAAAGATGCCTGTGCCAAGGCCTGGTGGTAATCAAGCTGGAGCTTGATCCTGCCACTTACTTGGATGATTGGTTAGACTTGCTGCCTTCAGCTTCAACTAATCTGAGACTTTCATAGGGGGCAGATCTTTGCCAATGGCTCTGCCTAGTGGGGCTTTCCCTCTGTAGGATCCATCTTATCTTGGTTCTAAGCCTTTCATTGGGGGCGTTGGAGCGGGGGATGTCTTAAGCAAAACTGCCTAAGACCCAAGGAGTTGAGGCTAAGCAAGTGGGAGCAGTAAGTTCATGCTGCCAAGTGAGCTGGTCAGGCAGTGTCCATCCATCAGCCAGCCTGTCTTACTTACCTTCAGGCCCTTTTGCTGCGTTTGCCTCCAAATGATAAATTTGGTAAATTCCTTCTTTTCTTTTTGATAAATTACTTTTCATGGGTTCTTTAGTCATTCTTCAATTGTTTTATGTTTTAAAAGTAACATGTATACATATGTTCATGAAAGTAAATTCACAGCAAGAGACAAATGTAAAATAGAAAATAGAAGTTATCCAATGGTAGTCATTGCTCGTACTGTGTGTGTGTGTGTGTGTGTGTGTGTTTCCAGATATTTTCTTTTTCTTTTCTGCCAGTCTTGGGGCTTGAACTCAGGACTTGGGAACTGTCCTTGAGCTTCTTTTGCTCAAGGCTAGCACTCTACCACTTGAGCCACAGCGGCACTTCCAGCCCTTTCTTTCTTTTTCTTTTTTTTCCCCTGTCTGTCGTGGGGCCTGAACTCTGGGCCTGGGCGCTATCCCT